TGTTGCTTCATGCTTTCTAAAACACATATGATATGTAATTAAATAATTATTCATCATAATGATACTGCAATTAATTAAAAAGATATTATTCTCAACTATGATAACAAAATATTTTGAATAGAAACATTCACATGTGTTTGTATTAAAGGGCAACATTAATAGCCATCACAGATATGTCAAGATAGTAATGACACTTGATTATAATGACTATTCAACTGAAGGTAGAAAATTTTAAAACAATAAGTTATAATTTAAATACAATTAAAAATACATTTAGTTTGTTGATAAAATAATATTTAAGATAATCAACTTATGAATTTAATTATATGTTAAATAAATAAATGAAATAAAAGGGGAAAAAGACATCAGTCATCTAGTTAATACCATCATTATCATGATAATAATAATTCAATTATATCATTATATATTAGTGGATATGAAATAAAAGGTAAATTCATTTTTTCATCTGTTATAGTTTGAATATTTAAACGTATAAAACTTACAGGTCAAAGTTGAGAAGTAAAATTATTTTCAAATCTAATTATTGATTTGATTCTAATTAATAGTATTCTCTCTCTCTTTCGTCCTTTCTTTCTTATATATCAATGTTGGAATATTATAACTATACATAGAATTAAGTGCATGAGAATGTGTGGTTGAATTTAGAAGTGTCCAATGGGAATTGAACGTCAGTTAGGTTGCTAGACGACTGCACTAGATACTCACAATGGGGTTAATACAAGGGTGAATTCAAGTTTAATGACCGCAAAAGATAACCTTGTTTTCAATTAATAATAATCATTTTTCTCTAAGATAAATAAAAATTAATTCAATAAAAATATAGAACAATAATAGCATCTAAACATTTATTTATTCTGGAGCTTTTTTTAGGTAATATTTCATTCAATATATCAATATCTTAGATACCAACTATAAATAATGCTGATGAAACTTTACTTTTTATATGTATCACTTAAATCAGAACTCTTTGAGATTATGTGTTTTAATAATCCTAATTATTTCAATGCTAATGAATATGTAATCCTTTAAAATATTTCTAGTAAATATTCATCATCATCACCACCATCTAGGTACATCTTTAAAAAAAATAATGCCTACTTTATCACTCGAGTTACTCCAATACTAGTGTTTGCTAATTTCCTATATGTACCTACACTCATCACTGTTATATTTCTGACAGCATTAAATAAAAAACTAACTATTTAAATCACTTGATAGCAAATAGGGTGTGGAAATTATTTCTAAATATTTGCCCATATAAATGAACAAGGAGGACTTATCGATGATAATAAATCAAGCAGGCTATAATGTCCTGGAGACCTACATCTTCTACATGATAAGCTTTCCTAAATCTTCAACTCTAGATATATATTATTTTCAAATCATTTATTTATAACGATTAATTAAACACAAACATGTCACTGTTAATTACTGTCAAATTATCAAATGTCAACAAATTTTTAATAAATAAAGTTAGATTATATGCTTAACAACTGATTGTTACTTTGAAACAGGGAAAGTTTGAGTGAAACTTGTTGAGGTTCTTAACAGGCAGGAATACAAGCTTAAATGATCATTCAAACAGTTTAATTTTTGTTTAAAATAAAAAGTATCTTTGATGAAATAATTTCTAAATAAATATTATCTAAAGCTTAATGATAAATTATTGATTAATTATATTGTAATCAATTTTATAGACAAGAAAAATAGCACATATTGAATAGTATTTGCTGAACACTTCAATAGTAACATTCAGGTGGAAACTACGTTAGAAATATTTCTATTTAAGGAGTTTAACTGATAGAAGTAGGAAAAATACATTTGATATCAAAATTAAATATTATGAATAATTCTGATAAAAATAATTGGTTAGTTATAATTACGATGAATACTAATTTATTACATTATTATAATTTTATCTAATCATTTATCGAATTTTATACCTTATGTATATTATGTAAATTAAACTTGCTTTCAAAAAGACAATTATTAGAGAATAAAAACATGTTTCAAAATATAGTCTACAAGAACTTATTCTTTAAATATACCACCTTCCAGTGTGCAATCTTTCTGCCATACTGGATGTGTGGTCTATATATCTACACGCCCCTGTCTTTATGATATTGTTTACGACCTCAAGTTAAATTAGTCTAGCATTAATGATATTGAATGCCCCATGGCGCCATGACACACCTTTTCTACTTATATTCCAACACTTTTTGATGCCATTCCACCACGATTCCTTATAATAATATGAAAAATATTCAATAATGAATTGACACTTATTAATTTCATAACAAAAATTAAAAATAACTAGTAATAATATAAAGATGAAAAAAAAACAAATTAAAAATTAAACAATACCATTAGGTGAATACTTCTATGAGGTCATAAAAATAATTATTATTTTAAGAGAATGCGCAGTTGAATAGCTGTGATGAACAAAAGAAAAGACACTATCTTGGTTGTATAAGTAACAAATAATACGAAAGACATCGCAGATAGTGACTTAAAAAGTTTAATTTCTTTTAAATTTAATTTATTTAAATGTAGACAAATAAGTTTAAAGTTATTTTTATAGTTGTTGATAAAATGTATCTTTCGTAGAAAATAATAATAAATATTATTATTATTATTATTTGAAGAGATAAAATAAAATAAAAAATTGATAATAAAAAAAAAAGTGTATTTTCTTTATGACCAGATCATTTCTTGAGGTAATAATAAATCCAACTTTTCTACGATCATAGCACAATGTGACAAACGTGTTATATACCCTTTTGCTACCTTTTTTTTCTATTTTTTCTCATACTTGTCTCTATATTCTCATTGCCTTGAAACGTTCATAGATCTTCATATCATCTTGCTTTGTGCTACACAAGGAAATCACGTACAAAAATAAAACGAATAAAAAGAAAAAAGGGAATTTATTTTTTTTTTTGTTTGATAGAAATAATTATTTCGACTTCTTAAAATAGAGTAAGTTTTATTTAATTAAATAAAAATGTTTTAGTGGTTCATTAAAAATAAATTTATCCTTCCAGATAATTAATGTTCTCGACAAAAGGAAACAACCATTCAACAGTGTTACAACCTTCTCATTTTGACAGCAAATTACATTACATGTTACTTCCGGTCTATTCTCCAATAAATTACTTGGTTCCTTATATCTGTTACTGTTTTATTATTATTCTAGTGCTGTTGAAGAAAACATTTTTCCAACTAATATCAACGGAACAAACATTTAATTGAATTGAAGAAATTTTGGTGATTCACTTTAATACATGTTTATATCATTTGTATTCAGAGAACATACTTTTAATGAACACTAGTGGAAGAAATAATCATCATTTAGTAAAGTGATTCACTAAATGTTGACTTTCTTCTTGAACTTATTGATGAGTAATTAATTAGTTGACAATTAAAATTGACTTATTTGTAATTAAATTGTTACTTATATGAAGAAACATTTAATAACAAGGTAGACAATTGATGAACTTTTCAGGAAATAATAAATACGTGATAAAAGTTTCAACTATTAAGATAATGAAATGATTGTCTGTCAATAAAAGCTGTCAAACAGCAAAGATTAAACATTAAAACAAACAACTTTAATCAATATACTTCAGTATACTTTGACAAGTTTCTTCAAGTATGATTAATTATTAATTTTATGATAATATTTAGAAATATTAAAAGTTAAAATTTCAATTGTTTTCATGTAGATATTACGCAGTTTATGTTACTGAATTTCATCAATATTTTTGAACTTCAATGTTACTATTGTCTAACGAGTCATCGATTTTGTATAAACATCAACAATATAATAACGAAATGCATCGACATCTTGTCAGTTATACAGTCCCAAAGTAATATCAAAATACATTTGTATAATTACTCTCGAAGGGGGGATTATGCATTTTGTATTGCTGTCAGTTAGGTACTTTGATACCAGTCTATTGTTGTTACTGCTGGTGTCAAGTATAAATATTACATAAAAGCTTTTTAAAAAACGAGCCGAAGAAAGATTATATATTCTGTTTAAGTAAACATCTTCAATTACTTATTGATAGTGAAAGAATAATTTAAAATATTGGATGATAAATTTTATGAGAAAGTGGAGGAAAATGTATTTCACTCATATTGGATAGTGGTGATCCAGTGTTATCATTTCAATCATGTCTCATGACTAGACCAGAATTAGTTACCATGTCAATGATGATCCTGTTGTGATACATGATTGGGATGATAACACTGCAAATCCAGTGTCTAACAAGTGGTTGAAGAAAACTAAACATTTAAAAATGATTAATGAAAATTCTATAGTTTGTTTAGGGCGTTTAACATTGAAAACAATTTCAATATTTAGCTTTCTTTAAACACTTATTCAACACTGGACCAAAGGTACCCTATACATGAAAAGAATGTTACATTTTTTTTTCTACAGATTTGAATGAAATTTTACTATGGAATGGAGTCATGTTGGACCGGTTCGAATTTGTTATGCTCTATACTGTGGTCCCATAGTAAAATCTCTCAAGGGAAAAATTTCCCATTGAGCTGAGCTTGAAAATACTATAAACTACAATAAAGAGTCCAATGTCAGACCAGTTTCGACGTGAATTTGAAAATAATTTTTTAAATGAATTAATTTTTTTTTTTTTTTTTCAATTAATAATGAATGCTTTAATCACGTTCAAGACATTTTTAAGAAAAATAAAAATGCATGAGGAAAAATAAAATAAATTCTTAAGCTACTTTTTTTTTTTTTACAAAATATTAATTTTTCTGTTATCATATAAATCAACTATTGACCAAGATTGCCAGTTATATTAATCAAGATATTAAATATTATGTTCTTCGCTACTTCGAGAATATTCACGTAAATAACTTGTTTTTCATCATTTAAAATATGTGTGTATTTATCTAATGGCTGAACAAATTAAAATTTGTAAAGAATATGAAAATAAATAACTCACCTAAAGATTAGGCATCAACTACGATTTTACATTAGATCATTTCCGTCTTGTTTAACTTGAATAACTTTCTAGTCTTGTTTCTCTGTTTTCTTCTATAAATTAAATGGACTTATATAAAAATGATGCTAAAAGAAGTTGTTTTTTCATGTGGTGCCCAGCTTTTCTGAAACGAATAAAGAAATTGGATGATTTAATTAAGATTTAATGATTATTTTTTGTTATCACTGCTAACCCAAGTGTTTAGAAACGAAATACTTTAAGTGTTTGCAATATTAAACATCATCAACAAACTATGACAATTGTTAGATACCACTCCCATTATCATAAGTTGAGAAAATAAGTAGAACCTGATTTCACTAGAGTTTCTAATATTTGTCACGAACTCCCTTTTTATACATCCTGTTATAAAACAGCCCTTTCAAAATACCTTCCAAGAGAAATCATCCTAACCCTTTTTTGAAATATATTTTCCAACCTTCCAAATGTTAAGTTTCCAATTCGTTACGATTTCACCAAAGTTAAATCACTTCCTGTCTACAGGTTCATATCATTTTTTCTACTCTCACCCTTTCCCTCAAAATTTAGACCCTTTAAGTAAGAATGTTCCCTAGGATTAAGCAATCAGTTTTGTCAAAATCTTTGTACGAGAAGCATCTCATCTCAAAACCTGTTGGGAAATAGGTTACTAAAAATATTTAGAATGTTGATATTTCAATTGATGAAATGTCTTTATTTTAATTAGGACTATAGGAAGGTAATCATCCAAAAGTTTCCTTATGATGTTCTCTTCACGAGAATCTACAAAAGACTAACTCAAAAAATTATCCTAAAGTACTTATCCTAACTATATAACTAAAAATATGAAGTGTGGCCCACAGATGTCTACCAGGACTAAAATTGTTTATTTTCCTAAACAGTTTTTATGGATACTGGGATTTTCCCTGGGATTTTATTATCATTTACTTAGGTTTGCTTTTTTTTTTTAACTACCAACATCCTTAGACCACTCATCATACTTTCAATAGAATAATTTTTGATGATATTTAACCAATATTTCAACAAAACCTTAATGTACTTAATTTACTAAATAAAGATAAAGTTCACTTGAAGTCTTGGGATCCAACACAATTTTGTACACGAATTTACATCACTTATTGCCATTTACTAAAATACTACAAATTTTTTTATGCTGTTTAACATTGTAAACACTTTAAATATTTAATTATTAAACACTTTAAATAATTTATCATTAAACACTTGAATTTTTTCTAGATTTGCAGTGATCATGATACTTATGAATAATGTGATATAACATTATAATTCAAATTGTTAGCTTAGTCGATATTTTTATCTCTATTGACCATACTGATTAGATTCATCAATAATGTCCACATATATGTATGTCTATCACATGAATATGCATATTTGTATGTATATATATAGATATATATAGCTGATGACTTACGAACATCGAAGCCAAAGCATTTCTAATGCACTTGGTTATATATTATGTCAGTTATATTACTATTGAAATGATAATTACATGGGTGGATGGCTGCTTAGATGGACAACCGCGAAGTGGTCATCTCAGCTATAATCTATGATATTACGTTAGCGTAATACGAATATAGTGCCCTAATGTAGTGTAATGTGCTGAGAACGACAGAGATGTTCCACAATAGTGAAATGGCTTTGAGGCTGCCCGAAAATCAAATGACATTTGGTGCTTATTGCATTTCCTGAATAATATCCCGTTTATCCATTACTCATTGAAATGGAGTTATTCAATACGATCGGTTTTTCTTTCTAGTTTTTATTCAGTTTTGTGAATAAAACCGATGAGAAATAGCACCAAAAAATCATGGTAAATTTTAGTGTTTTATTTTAAAACATTAAAAGTGTTTTAATATAACGTTACCTATTTGATTAACATTATCTCGATTTTAAAACACTTAAAAACGTTTTAAAATAAAATACTTAAATTTACAGTGATATTACAATTTTTATTATTATTAATTATTAAATTCGAAAAATTGTAACAATTAAATTTAAATTGAATTAAAAATTATTTTAAATTTATTTTATAAACTTTTTCATTTGTTGACATTAAAAATAATAATTCTAGATATTAAAGTAGTAGTTTAATTAAAATAGAGGATTTTAATGATGGGAAATATAACAACAGTTATTGAGCAATTTATATTTTTCTATTATTTTTATTGTTTGTGTAAAAATTTTCATTGCTAAGGAAAAGGTGTTTTTTTATTGGAATAAAAATATAAATAAACTAAAATTTATAATTTAATTAAATGAATAAAATATTTTTAGAATTAATAAAAATTTTTATCGCAATTATTTAGACTAAAACATATTTTAATAATGAAAAAAAATTAATTTTTTAATGATATGATTATTTATATGAAATAAATAGTAATATCACACCTGTTACAATGTTAAGCACAAAATTCGCAAGAAAATGATGATCAATACCTCAAGTGTTTACGACACTTACTATCGCAATATTAATAAATCTCTTAACAGTATCTTCTAACTGATAAAAAACATAAAAGAAAAAGATAAAATGACAAAATATATATGCATATCAATGTTTTAGTCGGTGTTTGAAGCATACATGACAAGTTTAAATGAAGAGGGTAAACTATTAAGTGAAGTATTTGATAATATTTTAAGAGTGACGATAGAAGTTTAGAATGATCCAAGTTTGAGATGTGGAATATTATAAAGTTTTGCTATACTCAGCAATAAAATGTAAATAATATTATATTTAATAAACATATATTGATATGTTAATTTTTTTTTATCATTCAAGATATTTGTTTATTTATCAACAACTTCTTGTCACTGATAGTCACGCCCTCGTGTATTCAACTATCAAAAGAATATATGATTAGTAAATCGCGAGGTTTTAAATGTATTTAAAATTATTTGGAATTATTTACACATATCAACTGTTTTTTTTTTTTACTACAACATAATCTTTAATTTGACCTATTTACCAAATACCGAAACTATATCTATTATCTATGGCACAGAGTAATTTAAATTATTTTTAAAAATAATTACGTACGCAGAATTTAATTAACTTAAAATATTTGTAATTTTGATAGAGGTTTAATTGTCAGGTTAAATATTATTTTAAAAAATTAAAAAAAGAAAAAATCAACGTAGGTATTTTATAATTTATTTAATTATTGGTTGAATTAAAAATAATTATAAAAAAATTGATGGATAAAATGATTTAATGGAAGTCGAACTATTTGTTATAATGAAAAAATTTCGGATATTATAAAAATATTTTTTATAACAAAATCAACGTCCGTTCTTTCAATCAAATTATGCCAATCGGTCAAACGATATTGCACGAAACACGATTAAGCTTCTTAAAAAAATCACGTTTAATTTTTTCTACACTTAACCTCGATTCTAGTAATCGTCCAGTCATGCTGTCATTTATCTTAGAACTTTATCGTTATGCGCTACCGATTTTTTTTTAGTCAAAGATTTGTTGTTTTTTGAATGGATGTAAAAAAAAAAAATACTTCAACTATAAGTAGGGTGAATAGACCAATAGATAGATTAATTGTTATATTATTAAAATTGTATGTACTAAAGAAAACATTAAGATGAAGAAAATAAAATGGAAATTCATTACAAATATATGGAGAGAAGAATTGAGAAAAAGTTACCCTTCGAGAGAGGAATTTTTATGAAGTGGTAAGGGCTAATTTTACTATCCTGGAGGGTGATTTTTACTCAATCTTTTTTTTTAAAAGAAAAAAATAAATTTGTGTTGAATGAATTTAATATTTTTTCAATTAACTTAGACCTTTTTATTAAGTGATACATCCCACCCTAATCCTAGGGCTGAGGATTAACTACACTTTCCTATAAATAATAAAAAATATTTGATTTCATTTTAATTGATAAATAAATTTATATAATTTCTTATGAATTAAAGTTTTATAATCATTTGTAATAATCATATTTCATAATAATTTACAACAATATTTTTCTATAATAATTTATAGCTGTTCTAAACTATAGTTTTTAATAATAATAATAATAAATAACATACATAATTGATAATTGTTTTATTATTATCAATAGTCATGGTGATTAGTGTCAATAACCATCTCATTTCTCAAAAGCCTAAATACTCTCTGTAATATTTTAGTTGTAAATGATGCTAAAACTGAAATATAAATGATCAAACTATTCTTAATTTAAAAGCATGACTGAAAGAGTTAATAATTTTATGAAGCTGTTTACTTTTTAAATTCATCAGTTTAGTTACTAAACATACAAAGTAGCACTATAAACATAAAAGTTTTTGTCATTGGTAAATTTAATCATTATATTCTCCTCAAACTTATAAGTTAATTTTATAAAATTAAAACCAGACTGATAGTACATAAGAATGATTATTCCCAAGCAGATTATACATTTATATAAGAACTATTTTACTAAACAATGGAAATTTTTACAAATATTAAACTGTTAGCTCAATAGATTAACTATGAATAGCATAAAAATGTCTCTAAAAATTTTTCCATTTAAGGTAGTTTACTCAAAATTAATGTTTTCTTAAGATTTTTTTTTTACTACATTAGAATTAAAGATTATTAACAGTCCTTTTAATTTTTGTAAAAAAATTATATAATGTACGTGCATTTATAACAAATATTATGTCAAAAAAAATTAAATTTTATCGTACTGTTCCTAATAAAATAAGTTATTATTAATAATTTTAGTCTAAACTCTCATAAAAAATACGCATTAACCTTTTTTTTTTTGAATCTTTTTTGGTTTTTTGGAATAATAGAAGAAAAATTAATAAAGATGCAGAAAGCTAGTGTGTATACTTCATAAAAAAAAATTAATTTTATTTCAAAGGGCCCTGGGTTTTTTTTTTTTTTACCTTAAGAAATTAATATAAGGGCCTTTTCTATTTAATGGATCCTTAAAAAATTAAATTGTATAAATTTATACAATATTTTTTAATCTTAAAAAATGAATAATTTAATAATATAATTTTACATCAACTATAAGAGCCATCTATTGTATCCATTGTAGCAATATTTTTTTCTACATAAATTGATAGATCCATTATAAATTCTAATCTTTAGTTCATTTTTTATATTTTTAACTTACTATTCATTTATATGTTAATTCTAGAAATTAAAAAAAAAAAAAAATTTTTTTTTCATCATCACATATATTATGTATTCCACTCGAATTATTCAATAACAGACAAATAATTACTTGAGTATTTGAAATTAATACTGATAATTAATATATTTTTATTTAAAACGTGTAAATTAGTTAAATATTTATTTAACTTCAATAAATATTACCATAATACAAAATCAACAGTATGTTTAATTAATTCATTCATTTACTGACAAAAATTTTAAATTAATAAAAAAATTATATCCACAATATTAACATTTTTTAGACATCTATTTTACACTTATATCTACAAAAAAAAAAAAATGTAACAAATATATTATCAATGTGTATTTAATAAAGTATAGTACGTATTATGTAAATTAAAAATACAAAAGAAACTGTGATACATTTAAATTATTTTAACTTATGTATTTTCAACGAGAAAAATGTTTAACTGAATATTAAATAATAATTAAATAAATAATATAAATAATTTTAAGCTAAATCAGTTGAAAGTAGATAGAATTAACAATACATAGACTCTAGTGTATTATAAATGATAATAGTACTTTATATTTAAGTACAGAGATAACGAGAATTCGTGTTTGAAATTTACTATTAAACATAATGCTTTAGAAGATACTTGAGAAGGGGTTGCAAGAAGACTCAATTTTGATGTGGACGCCGAATAGTGTATGCAAGTATATGAGCGATCGATCGTTCAGTGAGCAGGAATATAATTTCAAGTTAAATTCAGGAAGTTGAAGAAGAGCAGAGGAAAGAGGGACATGACCTATATATCGTTTCAGTTCATGTTCACAACGAATCCAATTAATTCGATAAATTCACTCGTCGCCAATTTGTGAATACATTTTTAAATCTGATAATTTTTTTTTTTTTCAAATCAATTTGTCGATATTTATAAGTCATTTCCCCTCAAATATACACGTATCTCATATCTAACTAAATTCAAGTGCACAATTTCATTAAATAAAATAAAGTGTAAATGATAATGATAAAGAAGATAATAAAAATTATTGTAAAGCTTATAATTACACTGCATGAAGCTTTATCTAAATCCTATTACAATGTAAACTGATAAAATAAAAATAGTTTCAAATGTAATATCAACTTAAATAATTGGATCATTTTTATTTTTTCAAGTAGCTACAACATTCTATGATTATGGAGAAATAATAATTTCAAGAAAAAAGTAAAAATTAGTTGTAAGGTAGGAGGAGAAAAACAAATGAAAGGTGAAATGGAAGCTTCAAATGTGACATGAAGAAGCGCAAGAGTAGAAAAAAAATAAATAAATAAAATGAGAAGAAGGTCGACGTGCGATGCTGGATGAGACTGAGAGGCTTGAACGGTATGTACAGAATGCATCCGGCACACCTGCTTGGAAGCATCAGCTTTTAAATGGGAGACAGCTTGAACGAGATTGTCTGTGGATAAAGTGAGACCAAGTGTAGACTTATGTTATGAAGTAAGAGACCAGACACAAACGAATGACATATTGTTTTATAAAAGTAAAAAAAAAAAGACATCTTTTATCTCTGATTTTACTGTAAATGTATTCTTTTTTATTTATAAATATTTTTTTTTTTTTCCATCACCCTTTGTCTTTTATTAATTGTTTCAATTAATCTAATACCATAAGTACTAATGAATCGAAAAGATGAAAAAAAAAAAAACATTAGAAAAGTTTCTAGAAATTCTGTAACAATAATAATAGTAATAATAATTAAAGAAACTTTGATTGAAGCTATTTTATTTTATCCGCAACTACTAAGTGGCTAACAAATAAAAAAAAAAAACTTTCATCTTCTTAAAATAAACTTTTTCTTTATATGTGTAGTAGATTTAGTTTCATCAAAAATTAACTTCTGTAGTAATTAACAAAAGAATAATGAAAAAAAAAATTTTTTTTTTTAATCATTAATAATTATTTATTGTTATTTATTGATTTTTTTTTTTAATCTTTTGTCAATTTACAACAATCATTTAAGCATAAAATTTTGTTAAACTAAAAAATGCAAAATTCATGTTTTCACTAAATGAATGTCACTGACCCATATATTTTCTTACAAATCGATATTTAAATTATGTAAATTGTGATACATACACTTACGTGCGTCAATGTTACTAATACGAGAGAAAGAGAGAGAGAGAGATAAAATATACCTAGTGGCTTGGAATACCGGAAACTTGGTACAACATATATACACAAACACTTTTATCAATGTTGACTCCAAAATAGTACATAAAATATTCGTTACTATTACTAAACTATGTCGAAAATATACATTTATGTTGCTCTAATTTAATACCTAAATTCTAAATAAATCAACAAGATCATATTTTTATTTTTGCAAATGAAAAAAGATGTTTCAATTAACACAATACCAAGAAAAGAAAAATAAAAACATAACGATATTGTCCGTTAACTATTTTTTCCCTTTCCCTTTGTCCTACTTCTATACAATCGATTCCAGTGAACCCTACCTGACCGAAAACTTTCCATCAGTAGAGTTGAATAATTTTTATTAGATATTTTACACTCTTTGTAACGGAAATAAATATTTATTATCCAAGTAATAATATCTTTCTAATCACCTATTAAAAATGATAATAACAATAATCAAGTTTTTATTATTATTTTTTTTTTTTTGATCAATTTCCACTTTGTAATAATATATCAGAGTAATATACTCTTATTACTTTCTATTGGGAGAAAATTCTTATTTCTCCAACCAGCACTAACTTATTATTTCTTTAATCAAACTATATAAGCTCTACTTGATTGATCGGCTTTTCCACGTCTTATGAAGCCCTGTACAAGTATTAACTGATATTTTAATCGTCATACTTAAAAAGACTCGATTGCAATACTTGTATATGATGATAATATGTTTTATCAACATAATAAAAAATTCGTTAAACTCCAATATATATTGTTTATGATAATAATCAAATAAATTATAAACATTATTTTTTTTTCTACTTAATTCTGTACCATTTACATTTTCTGTTTATATACATAAATTAATATATATATATATACATATGTATATATAAAACGTCACACGTTTACGCAATCGATTTACTACCGTGCGAGTCTTTACTCTAAGCCCTCAACTCAAGCATTCGATCTGACCACATGACGCCACGACCAATGTTATGTTGAGGTTTAGTCGAATAGAAGAAGAAAAAAGCCAACAATCATGGAGGTAACATATATCGCAACAGAAGATCCCAAGACTCGACACTTTCTTTCTTACATGTCTTTTTCTTTATTAATATCCAGAAGTCTTCAATGCATTTGCGGATCGTTGAGATCCAGTCTTATTTTTTCTACGAATAATATCACTTTTTCCCCCTTCTTTTTTTGTTTCTTCTTTACTACATTCTTTTTTTATTTCATTTTATGTTTTGAATCAACACTTGGCTATTTTCTAATACACAATAATAATAATATGACCTTGATTACAATAGTTAACGAATGATTGACAATAATTATTGACAGATGCTAGACATCCAATACATTTTGTCTTAATTTCTAACACTAGATACGATGATGTATACTCACTATTTCATTACACCGGTTTGTCATTTATAGTTTATAGTAAGTAATACATACATATCTTCATCAAATTTTTATTTATCAACTTATGTTTGAAAAGGTAGAATAAATATGTACTGAACAAAAATTTTCAAAAGATAACTAAATAAAGTGTTGACTTGATGAATAAGAAATTTTAATGAATATCATTTCTTGTACGTGCTATCGCGTTGGAAAATTTTGTTATGTGATAATCAGAATTGATTTCAAATGTAAAGAAGATATAGATGGAGACTAAGTAAATCAAAGTTATCAGAGAGGTTATCAAGTAACTTAAACGTAGCTATTGCATTGTTTTTTTTTTTTTTCTTTTTACCAAATACATTAACTTATAATTTCTTTCTTTTTTTTTCTTCCATTGTTACAATACTATCTGAACTTTTTGAGAGAAAAAAATTTTTTTTTTTCCAACCACAATATCGCACTATTTAGTCACACTTGTATCAATACTGTGAACTGAATGACTAACAGCTTACTGTAGTTTCAATCTAATCGAATTCATTTTAATTTTTATTTACATTGTATTCAATTCATAATAACATGATATAATGTTTTAATATGAATTGCATAAATAATTTAAATGAAAAAGTTGTAAAATAAAAATAGTGAATTAATGAATGGATAACAATTCATAAATATATTGAAAAAATGAGCAGTTGTACTTAGAGTGCATAATAAACATGCAAGTGATATAAAGAAGAAGGGGAATGACCAAATAAAAGAGTAAAAATCGACACGCACAAGAAGCTAATAATTCCAATGTTCGAAATTCAGTTTTGAAAAATAAATCTCCACCTGTCCAAGAAATCATCCTTTACATTTTTCTCATCCATTATGTGGCCATTGAAAATCATTTTAAGATTGGAGCTTTGCAATTACATTGAATTATAAATATATGATATAAACCTGTTCAATATACCATTATAAAACGTCAAATTATTACGTTTGCTTCTTTTAAAAATTTTTATAATTTTATTTTTCTTTTCTACAAGAAAGATAAAAAAAAACATTTACAGATTTTTCTAATAAAATAAAATAGAAAAAAATATTAATTACTCACCTGAAAAAATTGTAGTTCTTGTAATTTTTACTCTTAATGCCATTTATAACTTGACTTTTATGGATTTATTTGACCAAATTTCACTAAATTGTAGAGAAAAAAAAATACTTTCAATCAATTTTTGTATATTACTATTATTTCTATTTTATCAAATATATATTGAAAATCTTTTCCTAATTTTCAAAAAGATAATGACATTAAAGAGGGAAGTTAATGTGTATTTAAGCAAAAAATGATATAATTTATGATGACAAAAATTAAAACTGACAATCAGTATTGAAAAAACAGAAAAATAAATTTAAAAAAAAAACAATTATAATGAAGGAAATAAAGAATACAATGATAAGAACTGATTGTCTAAAGATTTGAAAATAGATTAAATTAGAGTTATATCCGAAAAAATAATAAAAATGAAAGATAAATTGAAGTTTATTAATTGAAAATAATAAAATAGAATAAAAGTGACATATAAAATTTGAAATGAACAATAAAATTTCAATTTACCATTAGTTAAAAAGTTTATAAGATAACAGTAAATACCGGAAGTTAATTTTTAACACTACCCAATCATAAGACTTGAACACTTGGTCTTGACGTTTTCCTGCACGATTAAATATTCCAAATGGAAAGATTATTTAGCAAACCAATAATTGAAGTTTCGTCACAAATAATAATGGTCACAATTGATTTAACTAAATATTTTAAGTTAATAACACTGACGTTGCGCGCGCGTAAATTGTTATCTTCCTTTATTTTTGTCCGATCAAGTAAAACCACACGAACAACAAACGAAAAACCCTCTGGGTATCCTGCTCAAGACCCGAGCAGGCACTGACCCCACCAGACGTGAGACGAGGACCAGTAAGTGAGCGCAAACACAGAATCAAGAGAGAAGCTTGGGTGCATGTGAAAAAGTGTATTGTATCACACACAGTCGTACACACACACACGCAGATAGAAGAGAGAACACACTCGATACACGGCGATCACGAATGAGAAACGAAAGAGGGGAGAGTCAAGAGAGGGAAGTCATGAAAGAGCAATCGAGGGAGGAAAAAGAGAGAAAGAGAAGCATCAAGACCGGAGCAACCGGCCTCGTCTTTCTTTTAACTTTAATTTTTTTTTTTTTCTATCTTATTTTATTTATTAGTATTTATATTGTATTTTTCACTTCTTCTTACAGTGATCTGTAAAATATTGGACTATGCTAAATATATCTATTTCAACGACAATGATGCAGTCAAGTTGAAAAGAAAAACACAATAGTACGTCATATGCTTGTTTAGAATATACTGAATATATTTTGACCCTAGTGTTACGGTGAGCCCTGTTGGCGTGACTTCGAACTGCTTCGGCAGATTTCGGTTCAACTCGGGAATGAGAGGAGAGGACAACCAACAACTCCCGGCCACCAGCGCCTTTTATACATATATATTTCTATCTGTTTTGCGACGAGTTGCAAACTGTTCTCTTACACTCAAACTACCTTACACACGTGCCGAACTCGCGTGATTATTATTTTTTTGTTTTCTTTCTCTCTCTCTTGTATAAGTAATTAATTTATTACGCTTCAATTGAAACATATGTTGATACGAAAACGTATTTTGAATTATTAAATAGTAGCGATAAAAAATTCACCTCCATAAGTACATACCTACACCTGTTAGTTGTGAAGAAATGAATTTGCATGCCATAAAAGCATGATATGAATAGTCAGCTACAGTACCTTTATCAGCGCCATCATAAATACGGTAGAAAAGCCGTAAGGCACTGTGAAAGCAATTTCATTACGCAAAGAAGATTGTAGAGCTTTCGCGTCACGCGCCAAACAATGCTTTCCAACTCTATTCTCACTCAAATAATATTTAAAGATGTAATCTCTAAATATCATTTAAATTGACTTTCACAATTAATCTCATCACGTTTGACGGAAAAAGGTTTGATGATTTATTTTTTCTCTTTTTTTTTTTTAGTCATTTAAAACTATTTAAAGACCCTCACACTAATCTACATTATACAAATTAATTCTATCGATTACTAGAGTGAGTTCACGTAGACTTGTTGCATGTTTAAGACTTGAAGAGTACCTAGTTGCAATGAATCAAAAAATGAAAACATTAAGTCAGTTAAGTATGAGTATTTAATATTTTATTTAAAAATAGTTAATGTTTGAAATTATTACATATGTCTAGTGTAAAAAATCAGATATCAGGGTCAAGGATATCAAAGAGCATAACTCGACCTTGCAACTCGATATTTTTCTTGGAAATTTTGCGATACTAGAGGCTTTTAAGTAAAATAAGATTGAAAGAAGAGGCATAAAAGTATAATACTAAAGGGATAGTATACCTAGAGGAAGATACTTATTATGTTGCTTTTTTTTTTCTTGAAAGAAAACTTACAAGAAATAAGATTCATCTCATCATTAAAAAAATGCTATGAGAGCAAGAAGGAATGGAGGAAAAAAAAATTTTGACTCTACTTCTTGAATAGTATACTTAAGAATACTTAATATCTTTTACTTTATTTATTTCTATTTTTGGACTTCAATTTATTTCACTACTTCATTTTCATATTCTATGTTTATTCAATATATTAACATACAGTAGTTCAGGTAAATTATTCCAATATATTTATAAATGATAAGGTAAAAATTTTCGTATGAATTAATTATTGAAAGAAATGATTATTAAAAATATAACATAATTCATAAGTAATTCGAGATTTTTAAGTTTTATTGAACTTTATAATTTTTACAAATAAAAAGACTGAAACAAGTTGCAGATATAAAAGTAAAAATTGGAGAAGTATTCCTGCAAGTAGCAACTGGTGGGTCGATAATAATGGTTCCAGATAGTCTGGACTTGCGTGCAACCCATACAAGTAATTACTTATATGCTAATACGTAGTTGTCACTATAACAGTTACTTATAATTCCTTCTTCAGTTATAATTTAACAAAAATTATTATGTCTGTATAATTAGTTATTATAAAAAAATACGAAAAATTTAAAATAGTCAGTACCATTTACTGTAGTATTACTGATTATTTTGTCTATATATGATGAAAAATACAATGAAGATAAGGTATTGTAAAGTATTACATATTGAAATGATACTTTGTGTCAATACTGAAGAGATCTTTTTGTTTGAATATCTTCAAGTATTGTTCTTAATTCTTCATCCTCCAATCGACCCTCTAAACTAGGAATTAAGGCCTTGGCTTCTTCTGGCGTTTCTGGGCAAAGATTTGCCAATGATGCAAGTTCAAATTTATGCAACTTCTTTTGCATTAAGAGACTATAACAAACAAATAAATCTTTATTTACTTGTGAATTATGTGAATTAATTCATTTTGTAATAATAGTACAGTTTTTTTCTTTACTTTCTCACAGCTGCTATGATTTCCTTATTTTTAAATTTGCGAAAACGATCAGTGTAATTTAAACTTTTCATGAATACTTCTGAAAATTCTTGCTCTTCTTCGGCTGATTCATTTTGTGCTTTTCTGTGCTCCAAAAGCATATGCACTTCTGATATCAATAATGTTTCAGCATTTTCGAATTCTATAAAAGAAAAATATATTACGTAATTATTACTCATGAATAAATAAATTTTTTTCCTATTTAAAAAAATTTATCAGGAAATTATTTTTTCAATACCTAGTATTTTTATTCTAATTTCTTTATCCTGAATAAAATGATTCAGTTTAATACTAAAAATGATTATTAAGCTGGTTTATTTATATATCCTTGTTGTACTAGAAAGTCATAAATTTTCCTAGTTTTATTTACATCAATTTTAAGAAGAACTCGCGCTTGAGCCAATCTCAGAGAGCCTGATTTTTTATTTTCCGTTATTAAAATATTTTTAAATTCTAAATAATTCGTCGGTACTATTCTAGCTACTGAACACAATTCTTTTTCAATGTCAGTAAGTTTATCATGACCAGGTAATCCTAAAATTTCCAACGGAGGAGGTGGTTTCCTTTGATTAACTGTAGATATAGTTTGTATTTGAGAATTTGATAAATGACCTGGTATTAAATTTTTCCAACTACATTCAATATTATTCATATATATTCGTCTGTCTTTATCATTTTCTTGTTTTATTTTTAAAAGTTTTTGATATATTGAAATACTATGAAAATATTTCAAACCATTCTTTCGAAATTCTATCAACTTTTTAATTCGATTTCTGAGTTCTCCAGCGTAATGAAGTGACTCCATGATATAATCAAAATCCAATCCATCAACAAGTTGCATAAACATCAAAAATTTTTCAGCAACAGGTCGTGTTATAGTTGCATCATATCTTTGTAACCATGATATTACTTTTCTGAATGATATCAATCCATGTTCACGAATAATTCTTCTTCTTCTCATTCGTTCTTTCAGTCTAGAATTATAACCTTGTACTATTGCGAACTGTAAGTTCCTTCCAAGATCATAATGTTCATGACTTTCATCAAATTCATCATATTTCAAATTTGATATCAAAAGCTCGGCATAATTATCAAAATTAACCTCAAAATCCGATCGTGCTGCATTGTAGCCTGCTAATAGTCGACTATTGAGAGTGTTAGGAGCAAATCTTGGTGGCTCTTCTAAATCTTGGAGTTTAAACATGTATGGAATTGTTTCATGACCAAACAGACTAGCTTCAGATTCTTTTATAACTGGTAATCCTGGCAAACGTTGTTCATTTATATAATAATTTAAATAATGCGATTCACAGTTCTCGGAAGTTTTACCTGGCATTCTTTTAGCAATATCAACCCAATTACCAAAGCCACATTCTTGTAATACATCAAGTAATTTCAATTCTTCTTTTGCTGTCCAACTAGAATCCTCTGTTAGAGGAAATTCATTTTTAATGATAACATAGTCATGATAGTTTTTGTGTTCATCTATTTCACGACCATTTGAAAAACACAACGGACAAATGGTAATATTTTTACATATACTACATTTAATATAAGGCTCACAAAGGATCGATTTACATACGCAACAAACTGGGTCTGAAGTGAAAATTTCCTCACTTACAACTGAGACTTCGAGCTCAGTATCTGGCTCTTGCTTTATTAATTTACGCTTTTTGAATTCTGAAAGTAAGAAAATCATCACTTTAGACGCAGTATATTAAAATATGATTATTTATTAATTTAAATAACTATTTACAATTATTTGTGTATTAATGTGTATTCATAACATGTGTTATTACCTTTTGGAAATTGAAGATTAGTAGCGTCTTCTTCAGTCATATCTGAATGACTAGGATTTGCCATGGTGAATAATAAATTATAGATGATTATTAGTATTACTATAACTAAATTATTAATAAACAATAAATTATTAGAATAAAAATATTCTTGAATACGTTTGATTTATTTTTTTGTGGTTAGAAATTATTGTAGTTGATAAAACTTTCGCTAGGTTGCGATATATGCAATGTACCGCCATTTTGCTCAAAAAATATTACCGCGAAATATAATTCAAGTACAAAAAAATTCCTTTCAAATTAATCATTGTTCATAAATAATTTAATTTTTTGATGTTATAAATTTATTTTATTAATGAAAAAATACTTAAAAAATTATAGCATTCATAAAATCAAATCAAATTATTATAATTAATTGATAAGAATATGATTTAAATAATTATTTTTGGTTAAATAGAACATAAATGAACTAAAATTATTTAAACAATATTTTATAAAAATATTTCATATAAATAACAATTATTAATGATTACTACTTATCTAATCGTTAATAATAAATTAACCTGAAAGATGGAAATAAAATGATAAAAGTAGAAAGAATTATTTAGATGTCGATTTTTCGCAACAATTAAATGAAACAAAAAATTTACTTAATAAAAAAAAAAAAGACTGTACATTTGTAACGCATGCGCAGTTAATCTGCATCCCACTGATATAAATGAAACTTTCACACACATATTATAAAAGATTAGTGTGTGTTGCATGCCTACAAATTACCTCTGCTACCGGTGAGTTTAGCCAGTCGAGCCTGTGCTTATGTGTTCATGATCACATAGATCTATAAATTCGTTCTATTTTGTTTTTAAACTCACCGCGGGAATTCCTTGGTTCCTTTTTACTTTACACTTTCTCGAACATAAAAATATCCAAACATATTTGAATTTGTCAATCGACATCATCACCAATATATGAACTGACACATTAATATTATAACTAGTTATAATGAAAATGATTGTGTCAATTTTGACAGTTATTTGTGTATTTAGTGTTGTTAGTGGACAAAATAATAAATATTACAGCAATTCAGACACCATCTTCTTCCCAGACTCAGTGAATCCTTTGCAAAGTCCAAGAATAACAGCAGTTTCAAAAAGCAGAAGTTTAGATGAAATTGATAACTCAGTACAGGTAATATTTGTCAAAGACAATTCAATTCATTAATTGCCAATTTTATCGATAAAATTATTTTATAATTATATATTTCTATAATTACAGGAATATTTTAATGTTTGATGATTAAATTTTTCAGTGAAATGTTAAAAAAATGTTAAAATGATAAGAGCATTGCAATCATAAAACTGATGAGTGTACAGGTGATTAGTACATGTACCTGTTATATCTTTTCTTTTTCAACTGGTTGTCTCGTGAATCAATATGACCTCGAAATAAAGACTGACTATAATAATCTCGAGGATAGAACGAACCGGTAACGCGTCACCATCGTCTTCTTCATGTACCAACATTCCTTATTCATTTATTTCATTCTTAACACGTTTTTTGACTTCAGGCTAATCATTTTAATTAATAGAAAGTCTATTTTCAATGATGATTCTCAATGTCTGATCAATTTCAATATACCTGTTTTTGTTTATAATCTGTCTAATTTTTTAACCAGATCATTCAAACTTGAAACGAAAGTTACAAAATAGTGAATAAATAATACTTTAATGTTATTATAATTAATTGAATTCTGAGATACCTTGAAAATGATTACATATGTCAACGTGTATTAATGAGTGAAGGAGAACCTACGCACAAATGTAAAAAATGTAGAGTTTAAAAATAGAATATATCCAGTTAAAACAAAAGCAAAACAATATTGCTATTTTTTGATAATCTAATTTATAGTTTTCTGAAAAATAATGAATTTAAAACAAGTTTGATTGAATAATTCTTTAAATGATTTAAGATTAACGACCTGTGCAGGTAAATTCAATTAAATGACACATGTATACATGATTGGTTATCCAAACGATGACTCATTAAATTATCATTACTAAGAAATCTGATAGTAAAAGTATGCATTAATGTATAAATTTACTCATGTTGATGTCAAATAATTGAGATTAAATATCAACTGTAATAATTTGTTCAATTTACAAAATTTAATGAATGTACTTTTATTTGATTACCTAACACTTATAATGTTGATCTTTTTTTTTTCAAACCGACAATTAGAATAGAAATTTAATATCCGGTTACTTTAAAGTTCATTTCATCAGTGATGATTTAATTCAATTCATCTCAATCGGTATAATTATATAAATGTCAAGTCTTATTATGTTTATTATGATATATTATTTATTTATTGAAGTTATTTATCGTTTTTATAGGAAGTTGTTTATTATTATTATTATTATTATTATTATTATTATTATTATTATTATTATTATTATTATTATAGTTACAATGAGTGAGTTTATTTTGTGTTCTAGAAATCATTGTTACTAGCTAAGGAAATGAATAAATTGGATTCCCTTGAAGATTTTCTTGGTTTGGTATCTGGAATTCCGGAATCTGAAGAAATGTTTTTCGTCAGTAAGTATATTTGAATTTTGTAGTAAAACTAAAAATAATATTTTTTTTAGATAGATAAAAAAGTGATTCAACTCTGTTATCAATTAAAATACCACAATTGTTGATAAGTTACACTAATTATGTCAATAATAATTTTTTCTAATCCTTAAGCAGAAATTTTTTGATGAAATCATTGCGATAAAATGTCTGTTAATTAAATAATAAAATTGGATTTTTCTAGATCGAATGGGAGGTGAGAGATCATCAGCTATCAAACCAAAACCAGCAAAATGCATGGTAGAACTTCAATCTGTTTCATTAGTCCCAGAGAATCATGATCCTTCTACTGTTTACATACCATCATGTACACGCATCAAGAGATGTGGTGGATGTTGTAATCATTCATTACTATCTTGCCAACCTGTTCGTAATACAACGGAGACACGTAATTTTGAGGTGAACTTTTCTTCAAATCAATTTCTTCTCAAGTCATTGATTATATACTAACAGTGATTATTAATTCATTTTATTAGGTTCTTATATCGAAAATTGATATAAGTGGAAAATTAAAGTATGCTGGGAAAAAAGTAATACCATTGGACGAACACACACAATGTGAATGTAGCTGCAAAATTAAGCCTGAGGCAATTATTTAATTATGTATTTTAATATTACTCAATATTGTCGATGTAAATAATAATTAATCAAATATTTTCTTCTAGCATTGCTCAAGAGGTCATACTTACAGTGAATCAGAATGTCAGTGTATCTGTAAAAATACTGATGAAGAAGAGAAATGTAAGAATCATAGTATGAAGCTTTGGGATCCTGAAACATGTTCATGCGCTTGCAGATATCAATCTGAATGTAGCAGTGGACTTTTTTTCAATTTAAACACGTGCAGGTGTGAATCCGTACAATAGAAATCTCCATAAGTCGTCATTGGGTTTTCCACAAGTCTTTTTGGTGGCTGGTGTTTCACTACTTTGTGATTTCGTAAGAATAAATAAACACTGAAATTTTTTGTGATTTTATTCCACTAACAATTGTATTGAATTCATAAATAATAATGCTTAAACATATTTTAACGATTAATAAGCACTTGTTTAATAATTGAGTATTGCTTCAACTAATGCTTTATTTGCTTAGCATATTTATAAATATATGTTAATAAATTTTTTGTTAACAAAACAATGCATAAATATTTATCTTCAATGAAAGATGTATTAATATAAATGAATTGTAATAATATATAGGTGTGAAAGACGAGGATTTTCCGTTCAAGAATGGTATGAAAATGATAGAAGGGTTGACTACTCACTGAGACGAACAAATCAAAGAGAACATCCAATTATAATAACTCTTGATGCGTCGGATCCAAGGAGAAAACATAAAGATGAACCTAGCCGTTAAATTTTTTAAATAAATTAATTATAATCAAAAGCTTCATAATTTCAAAAAAATTGGATTGAAAATTCTAGTATTATAATTGTAATAATTACACAGTCATTTACTATTAATAAGAATGTAAAGAGTAAATATTTATTTTTCTTAATTTAAAGAATTACATTAACCATACGTAGGTCTTATTTTTTATGTCTAGAGCATATGTATTTAGTTTGATTGTTTAAAAATGATTTTACTATTTATGTATAATTCGAGTGATACATTTTTTATATCATATCGAAAAAGACTTTATTTCTATTGTGATATATGAAATATTTGTTATTATTCTAAGATACAATAAAATAGTAAATCCAGACGTATATTTCTTTAATTTCATAATTATATCTGAAATATTAATGTACAGTTGCAAACTTTAGAATTAATACAATAATTTTATGATAATAAGAAAAATTGATCCTAACCTATCAATATTTTATTGTCCATCAATTTCGATATTTTCTCCAGAAGTTTTCGAATTTGTTGTTTCAAGTTTGTTTACTTCTTGGTAATAATTGACAATTGCTTTATTCATTGTTAATAAATATCCATGAATCTGACCAATATTTTTGATCGTACCAGCAAGTGATTCTACAAAAAAATTATTATTTTTTTACCCGCTAAAGATAATCTAAAAATTAAAAAATACTTTTATAATTATAAACAATATCATTTCATACCGATAGAAGCTGCCAAATCTTCTAAATTCAATTCATCCGAAATTTTTTGACGTTTTTGTGATTGTTGCATGATTTAATTAATGCTGCAAGTCAAAAGATCATCATTTGTTTCAATATTATAAATTTCTCAACAATTATCTAATTACATTAAAAACAATTAAAAGAAACCTTATCAAGCTACGTATGAATAACAGAGAAGAGAGACACAATGTAAGTTTCGGTCAACATGTCGGTATTTTGGGTCAACATGTCAGTAATCGGAGGTCACACCATAAAAGTTTCTGTAAACCCATCAAGCGATGGCGCTGCAACGGTTTATCCTAGCCACGCCCCTTAATCTAAGAGAGAAAAGAGATAAGATTTGTGTTCTCTTTTACTCTCATTATAAGAATCCTAAGCCAGTTTATTTTCAAGCACCAATTTTTAAATCAAAAAGGTCCGGCTCTGTTCGCAACATACATCGAAGCTATAAAACCAAATCGATATTTTTGTAACAACTCAGAGGTAACACGCTCGACTACGGAAACGTAGGTTTTGTATTCAAGCCTATCAATGTCATATTTTTTTTTAATTTAATCAATTGTAATAATTAATATTTTCAGGACAATTTCATATGCAATCACGCTAAAGGAGAGAAAAAAATAACGACCGAAGCAATTTTTTTATAGCAAAAACGATGTTTATAAGAGAAAAAATAATTTAATTATCGCTTCGTTTTTCACCGATAACTCACGATCCATAAGAGGTACATGGACCACAAGCATATAAATAGATTCCTGAGAGCAAGATCTTTCTCATGCAATAGTCAAAATTATGATTCGAGCATAATTCATGCTGAAACTATAGCCATTTCCGGTTTCACCTCCATTTTCGGTTCTGAGGTCGTTAAGATAAATTGTTATTTAAGGTCGAATTTGAGAGCACCGAAACGTACAGAGTAACCCCCAATCATCAAAATCCAAAAATTTTCCTTTCTAACCTCAAAAAATGCAAATAATCGTATTTATGCTTGGATCATAAAATTAAGGATGTCATTCGGAAGATCGGGACGAGACGGTTTCCAAACACTGGCTGTTGATTGTATTCGGTTGGATAGATCAAGAGATATTCCCGAAAATCTGCAAAACATAAAAATGTGCATAACTTTTATGTGAATGATGCTACGGGGTTGATTGAGGGGTCATATGAAAGACCTGGACCTAAGTATTAAATTGGATCCCCCCTATAGGATATCCCCGTCAAAAATGCCGTATCTCGCTTAGTTTTCGAGTTATGAGCGTTTAAACGTTTTTTTATGTTTCATTGGAGCATAGCTCCGTTTTTCGCCGATAACTCACGATCTATACGAGGTACATGGACCACGAGCATATCGATAGATTCCTGAGAGCAAGAGCTTTCTAGTGCACCAGTCAAAATTATGATCCGAGCATAATTTATACTAAAAATATAGCCATTTCCGGTTTCACCTTCATTTTCGGTTCTGAGGTCGTTAAGATAAATTGTTATTTAAGGTCAAATTTGAGAGCACCGAAACGTACAGAGTAACCCCCAATCATCAAAATCCAAAAATTTTCCTTTCTAACCTCAAAAAATGCAAATAATCGTATTTATGCTTGGATCATAAAATTAAGATGTCATTCGGAAGATCGGGACGAGACGGTTTCCAAACACTGGCTGTTGATTGTATTCGGTTGGATAGATCAAGAGATATTCCTGAAAATCTGCAAAACATAAAAATGTGCATAACTTTTATGTGAATGATGCTACGGGGTTGATCAAGGGCTCATATGAAAGACCTGAACCTAAGTATTAAATTGGCTCCCCCCTATAGGATAACCCCGTCAAAAATGCCGTATCTCGCTTAGTTTTCGAGTTATGAGCGTTTAAAGGTTTTTCTATGCTCCACTGCAGCATAGCTTCGTTTTTCGCCGATAACTTACGATCTATAAGAGGTACATGGACCACAAGCATATAAATAGATTCCTGAGAGCAAGATCTTTCTAATGCAATAGTCAAAATTATGATCCGAGCATAATTTATACTAAAACTATAGCCATTTCCGGTTTCACCTTCATTTTCGGTTCTGAGGTCGTTAAAATAAATTGTTATTTAAGGTCGAATTTGAGAGCACCGAAACGTACAGAGTAACCCCCAATCATCAAAATCCAAGAATTTTACTTTCTAACCCGCAAAATATGCAAATAATCGTATTTATGATTCGATCGTGAAATCAAAGGATGTCATTGGCAAGATGGGGGACGAGACGGTTTCCAAACACTGGCTGTTGATTGTATTCGTTAGTAAAATCAGGAGATATTCCCTGAAAAACTGCCAAAACATAAAAATGTGCATAACTCTTATGTGAATGATGATACGGGGTTGATCGAGGGCTTATATGAAAGACCTGGACCTAAGTATTCGTTTCATTGCAGCAAAGCTCTTTTCTCTGTAAATAACTGGTGGCAAGAGAAGTAATTATAGCTATTGTTAGATGCCGGGTTGGCGTGCCATCTTGCGGTCATTTTTATGAATGCTGACTGCATTTCTCAGCTCCCATATGGACTGAACTTCTATACTGGTCTCTCTTCTCTAATGGATAATAAACATATTTCTGTGTCTTGCAATCGGCCATCTTTATTCAGTAACTCAATGATTTTTCACTCTCTAGATGCCACTACTGTATGATTTACCGACTTCAATTGTCCACTATTATGATTGTATTTATGTTTATTCATTCATATTAAATAAAGAAGCTAGTTTTTATTGAATATTTATAAGAAAATATTCCGTTGAAAAATGTGTTTATCTCATTCGAATTATTTATTTTATATCGTATGATAATTCACACACTCTAAGACTCTCTTATGCATTCTCCAACAAATACAACATGAACTATACTACAAAGAAAAAGATTGGTATTCATACACAAACGACATAAGCTTTGTTGCTTAAATATTTTTTAGTTAAAACATTACTGTAAAAATAAATTAATTTTAAAATTTCATAAAATAAATTAATTGCTTTTTTTCAAATTTTTTAAAAATGTCGAGCTATTGAAGTTAAAAATTATTTGTAGATGAAAAGGCATCCTTTTATTTTTCTTAATCACTACTATAAATAAAATCAACAAGTATTTTAGTATCTATGCATTCTAAAGATTTCAAATAAAAACGTGAAATTCAACGGGCCAATTACAATTATTATTGACTCGAAGTGATGAGTATTATTTCGTCTAGTTAATTCATTTTTTACCATTTTTTTTTGTCAAACGCAACAAGATGTGTATCTTTGGGTCCATGATGCTCAAATCTTTCTGCGATCTCTGCTATTTATAAACGCATTCAGATTCTACGGAAGCCACGTACGGGTACATAGTTCCGCCCAATCGACTTTTTTAAGCAAAAGGAAACGCAATTTTATAATTACAGGGTAGTCTATACTGTCCATATAAAATTATATGCTTCAGGCCATTTCTCTTGAGTTTTCTCATTTTTTTACAGTTTATCTCTTGTGTTTTTTTTTAGCTCCAGAATAATTGATTCGCCATGAATGTTTTCAGTGCAGTCAACAACCTTAAAAATCACAATTCTCAATCTGATATTCAGTTATTTTGAAGAAATAAAAATTCTGAAAAAAAACAACATGTTGACGATATTTTTGTACAACAATAAATGGTATGTAAATCATTATTTCTCTATAAGACCATAGTTTACCTTGAAAACACTATTAAAAAAGGTATTTCTGCTAATCTCGAAGTGACTATTTGTGATTGAGAAAAAAACTCGAGGGAAAAAAAAATAAAAAGGAAGTGAAAACAGTAGCTGATGGTCAAGCGTTGGCGCCAGATTTTTTGTACCACCCGTTATAATTGCCATGGTGGACTCATCACGTTGGTTGAACGAACCAAATGATTACTACAACCAAGTCTTCATACTCTTCAATTCTTATTCATGTAAAACCCGTCCACACACTTGTGTCTAGACGAGCATGTCCGTGGATGAGGTGTCAGCAGCTTGGGTGACGGTTCCAAAGGCGGCTTAAACAAAACAATCTTTTATATAAAAGATACCAAGCAATACACTGATTAGACATAAGTGCAGTCAATGTTTATTGAGAAAAGTAAAATAAGTGAAATGTTTAAACAATTAATTGCATTTAAAGATATAAATTGAAATCAAATGTTTCAAATTCTGGTGGTTAAAATTTATTCAGTTATTATAAACACGTGTCAGAGAAATTTTGAATTCATTTAATTCCAAAATTAGAAAAAAATCTCTGAAACGGCTACTTATTTGAATCACAAAAGATTAACCATCAGCATCCCTGAAATAGAGCCTTGGGATCGCGCGTGCGGATCAAGTACTTGTCAGCATATTAGTGGATATGCATGTGTATATGTAGATATACGTATACATGTATGCATGCTAAAAAGCCACGAAGCATCTTCAAGGCCATATTTGATACGATAGAGAGAAGAAAGAGAGAAGTTTTGTTGTAAGTTCGTAACACGGGTAGTCCAGCTCACGGTTTAAATCGCATTAAAACCACGATGAGGCTTTCAGCTTCAAAGAAAATGGATTATAAAGGATAGAACTGAGTTTAAGTACTTTTTCGAGACATTTATTATCTCCAATTTATTATTTTTTTTTTTTTTAACATTTTTTATATAATTTATAACTTTTATCATTTCAGATCTACTTTAAATAATAAATATTACTTTGTAAAAATACTTGAAATACTTCGAAAATGAAGTCAATAAATTTTTTTTTTTCTTTCCAATTTGGAAATAGATTGAATCTTAAATCAGATAATACAATTGTTGACTAGAGTCACATCTGCTATTTTTAGGTATTGATGAAGACGATATGACAAAAATAATGTGAACCAAACAACAAAATTATCAGCTAAAAAAAAAAAAAAACAAGGGTTGTCAGTTCACTGTACTGAAGAGAAACATATAATATAACTTTAACCATCTGTGATCATTTCAAGTTACTTTTAAACTTGTTTTTTATTTATCTTATTCCACCTAATATACTTTTCAAACATGAAAAAGAAAAACTTAAAAGATCAAAATATTGAAATCTATGCAATTAATTATTATATTTTAAATATTAACTTTTTACTCACACGTGATTTTAAAATTTAATACGATAATCTTCTTCATTAAAAGAGAAAAAAATAATCAAAAACCGAGTATATATAAGGAGAAGAAAATGAAAGAAAAGAAATGCTTGACTGCAAAGTACGAAAAAGACAGGTACTCAGAGGAAGAATAAAAAAAGAAAGATCAATGTTGATACTGGTCACTAGATAAAGAAGAAAAGAAAGAAAGGCGGAGGTCAGAGCAATGAAACCAGAAAAAAAGAGAATAAAAGAGAACTTTGGGCAACGAATAAGATGATTTGGCCAAGAAGAGGATGGGATGAAAAGAGACGAAAGCGATGAAACCGGCTATAACGCCAAAAGAGGGTTAAGACCAACGATGAAGCGAGAAGTTAGGAAAAAAATACCTGAGAGTGAGAGTTATAATGACAATGTTGATTGTATTAATAGTATAATCATCATACAAAGGAATAAAATCTACGATAAATATCATCTACAAAATTTTTTTCAAACTTATATTTTAAACATAAATTTAATCATTTACTTACCTTTAGTATTTACCTTCGAGAGAAATAAAAATTTTATTCTCTTATTATCTAAGTCGATGTTTTTTCGGCTCGTTCATCATTCACGAAATTTATACATAGAGTTGGAGGAGTAAGTCAGTAGCTGAAGCTGTTCTGGTATACGTGTGTGTTCAGTAGCTCTTATGTACGGTCGAAACTGAAAGGAATAAATATTGAACAACATTGGATGAAAGTACTAAAGAAAAGGATGCACATAAACAAGAAGAAGTAGATGATGATGATGATGATGATAATGATGATGAAGAAGATTCAAGCAAATAAAAATAAAAAAGTGACGTATAAAGAAAAAAGACATTCAAGGTGAAGTCGAGTATCTTACGAGTTAGTACGTTAAGGGCAAAAAGGTGGATTACCTGAGAATTGGTTTAAGATAAAAAAAAATAAACCATGAGTGTGAAAAAAAAATTAAAAAAGGAATAAACACTTATGTCTTAACTCGTTTAGATTGTAGTAATTATATCATACTAATCATTTTTTTTTCAATAAAAAATAAGGAGCATTGAATCAATAATGAATAATGAAAAATAAAAATGGTTAGTATTGAGGTTCAATAATTAGTCATCAACATTTATTGATGAATGTGCTGAATCAGCAGTTCATAACAGCAGCATTTACCTTGCAGAGGACACGGTGCAGTGTTGAATGACTCAAGCTGGTCCCCTTAGGGCAGGAGAAACTAAGTCTGCTGACTCTGCAAGAGTTTCAAAACGTAAAGAAGAGGGAGGAAGATATACGTTGCAATGACCGGGCTTTGAACTCGCTGCGTGGTAAACAACAGGTACATTGCACCCTGCGCGTAATTCGTAAGTGCTTACGGGCTGGACGAAGTGAATCAGAAGTAGGGATGAGATGAAGAGGATGAAAAGATGGTAGCTGTAAGCATACGCCTTGAGTCACGTTCACCATCTCTCCAACTAACGGCCTACTTGCATGCGCATCGCTTTCTTTTATCCTTTTTATTCTGATAACCAAATCGGGTCTTAAAAAAGATTTAAAGGATCATACTAATACTTAAAAAAGGAAATCAGTAATATTAAATTATCTATCGAATATTAATGTGTATAAAATGTCAATGTATTCTTATTGAATAATTTTTTTTTTTTAATGATTCTTTAAGTAGTAATTCAATTTTCCTTCTGTAGAGAAAAATTTTATTCATAGCTGTGATGATCATCATTATCTAGCTTTAATTATCTCACAACTATTACCTAAACGCTTAGAAGTGAGTTTATCTTCTTGATTACAGACTTAAGAATTATATTTCATAATTAAGATATTTTAAGAGTTCATTATTTACGTAAATTGATACTACTATTATTATCAAATGTTATTTTTAATATTTTATTAACAATCTCTATTAATTATTGATTTAATTAAAATCCATGAAATTTTTCTTTTATCATCAATTAATAAATTATTGTACAGTATTTTTGATACTTGTATATACATCTGCGTATGTTCTAAAAATAATTAACTATTCAGCAGTTGCGCCTTAGTAACAGCACTCAGTCTACATCAAGAACTTTATTGTTGTTCGACATATATCATCATATCATAAGTTGCATTCACATATTCACATACAGGATGTATGCTAGATAGTCTTTCAATTACTAGATTTTAAAATTCATTATAATCATATAAAATGAAATTCCTTTTTCAGTAATAAGAATGTTAATTGAAATAAATAAAAAACACATTAGTTATCAATATATTTTTTTTTATTATTAATAATAGTGTTTTTATCTATTTATGTTAGTTATTATCTTTAAATTTTCTTATTATTAAGTTTAATTATAATTATATTTTTCTTAAAATATAATATTTTTAATGATTTAAGACTTATGTGGAATTATTTATTTATAAAAAAATGTAAAATTATTCACTGGTTATGTTTAATTATTACAATTTGAAATCATTATTTTTCTATACAAAAATTGATTTATTTATGATTTCAATGTAATAATCTGTTTAATATATCTGATCATTAGTTTCAAACAATTTTGTCAATATTTAATTTTAAAGACATTTTCTATTTAAAATAAAAAAAAAAAAAACAAAATTATTAATGTACACTTTTGCTCGTTTGGGAGTTATGATTACTTTACAATACAAATTCTCATTAAATCTTAATTAATATAGAATGACTATAATCTAATTTAAATTTACTGAGATCATACTAATACATCACAGGGTTACATTAATTATTTTTGTATTGATACTATTTTTTTTTTTTTTTAATTTTCCTCATCTTTTATTATTTTATTTGTATGGTGTATAACAGTAAAATATCTCTAAATTAGTCAATTTTGAAAGCTAGATTATTCAAATAGATGTAATAACCAGAATTATAAAATTTTAAATAATTCTATAAACATGATGTTTATTGGTAGATATAATACCATTGTTGAATTTATATAAAAAGTCTCATCTTATATATAATTTTGTAAATCGTTTCTTCCTTTCTGTATAAATGAAATTTAAATTTAAAAGAAATGACTTTAAAAAATTATTATTATCAATTCAATGCAAGAAGAAATTTAAAAAAATATTTTTCCATTTTCATTGATTATTAATTAGAATAATAATGATCATTTAATTAAAGACATTTATTTAATTTAAAAAATAGCTTGTGTAACCACCAGTCGTATTTTTGGTTATAATCTCAACATGAAAAGTAAACAAAGAAAACATTAATAAGAACGGTATGATGATAATGATAAATGATAAAGACACACAAAATGTGACATATGAACAAGAAGAAACATGATTACTTTTATTAATGCAACTTAATATTTAATAAAAACAATAATCAGTATAGCAAATATATTATTTGTAATAAATTTTTAATTATTAACAGTTTAGCATTCAAAATTAGAAGAGTAGGATTATTTTTTCTGAAGATTGTTTTAAATTTGAATTTAATTGTTATTTGTATAAATCACTTCTATATTATTTATGTAAGCAATTATTTTATCACAAGTTATTTGCGATTAAAAATGATAGAAATAGTTTTTTCCATTATTTTCAAATATATATAGCGAGAGACATAGGCAAAAATCGAAAAATAATGGTTTGGCATCGGCTGTACTTGAGTTATTTTGTACAGGAGATCAATGCTTTCAATTCTTGGGTAACATAATTAAGGCTACATAAAAAGTCTTTTTTACACAACTTGAACTGTAGCACAACGTTTTTTTTGTTTGTATATATGCAATTTATTTAAAATTGATTTTCTATTAACAAATTATATATTTAAAAATCGCCGATCATTTATTAAATTATTAATGCTTTTTGTAATAAAAATTTTATTTTTATTATAAATGAATTTTTTCGACCAACTCAAGACATGATATGACGATTATATTATTCTCATTTCAAATATTACAAATATTTTAGTAATTAATTATTATTTAGTAAGTAATTTTGGACATATTTAAAGATCTATTAAATCTACAATAATTTGATCATCGTTTATTACATATAAAAAAGTACGGAAATAAAATGAAACATTTTATTACATTTATAGTGCCGGCATGTTCAATAGTTGTTAAAGACAATGAAAAGTACGTAAATTTTTTCTTTAATTTTACGTAAATTATATCTAAATTATTTTAACACGAATATAGACGTCACATTGTGCGTCAAATTGCTTTTTATCATCAATTACACACTCATTTTTGTATCATCATAAAAAAACAAACAAAGAAAACATCCAATTTTTATATACTATTTATAATATATTACAATAAATTTCGATAATTTCGTTTTTTTTTTTTTATAATTTTAATTTATAATATTATAGAGAAAATTCTTTTATTTCTCTCTAAACAACAGGTTTTTATTTTACCTATTAGCCAATGTATTACTGTATTATTAAATATATTTTTTAATAATTATTACTAATTAGATATGATAATAATCTGTTCCTGCATAATTTGCACTAGCAAAAGCCACGAGGATTTAATATCCAAATTTGTATTTTATTTTATTGAAATTCAATAACATTTATATCAGAAATACATTTAATGCCCCTGATTGAAAACGAAAACCCAATAATCGAGGAATTAAAAAATTAAATAAACAAAATATGTTTATTTAAACGACATTTTTTTTTTTTTCATCATCATCATTCAACCTGATATTTAATATTCCTTTTATCCTCGTGTCATTTGGTTGTTTTATCCGTCTCAAATGAATATAAAAACTACGTGAATGGCACAGCCAAAGGAGCCTGTACAAGTCCTTCTTTTCTGGCACTCGCTCAACTTTCACGCTGAGACGATTGATTTGACATTGCATTCTATAATTAAATCATTACAACATATTTGTATACTATTATTCCACAATTATGATTAATAAAAAATAATAGATTATTACACTATAATTAAAGTAGAAATATTTTTCAAAGTTCATTCATAATATTATTACTATTATTATTCATTGATAAGAATCGCCACAATCGTTGAAATATGTAATTAAGAGGAAGACACGATCCAATGACGAAAAAGTACGAGCTTAGCTGCGTATTTGACCCGCGTTGCGTGAAATCTTTTCTGGTGGCTCAACAATAATCTTCTTTGTACTAGCGTTGCTGATTGTACGCTTGCGACTTTTCATATAATCTATAACAAATAAAATTATTTATATTAATATATTTCATCAATTTCTCAAACACTAATATTATTAACAAAATCGTATAATTTATGGGAAATCTTTCGATGAATTTTTATTTTACATTTTGGGAATAACATCTGTTCAATATTTCAACTTTCTAAGATAACCAATAGTACATAGTGTACATAGATAGATATCATGGGGTGATTTTATATCTATTGTTAAAAGTCCTCTTCACATATTTTTCTCACCCTAACTAAAAGCTTAATCATTCAAAGTAATCTCTAACTATTCTATTTAATTTTAACTAATACTCATATTTTAAAACTTGTAAGTTTAAAATTTATTTGCTAAAAAATATTTTAATTTCCAACAAGACATATTCATTCATATCTTTTTACATCAAAAGTATACAATACAATTATGGTAATGTTGATGATATCTTGATCTAGAGATACTCTTTCTGAATTGTTGTTGTTTTTTTTTATTAAATCAAATATAAAGAGAAATATTGATAAATATAAATTAATGTCCTATGATGAAAATTTCAATTCATTTTCTACATCAACGAAATACTTGGGTATTTTTAGATATTTCAAACTTCAAGGTCAAGTCGCGTGGAGGTCTTGATAATTTATCGAGTGTAAGCGCGAGTGGGCATGCGTTTATAACAGAAACGATTCGCAAAAGTTGTGGCGGGTCAGGGAGTCACTGGATGGTGAAATGTCTAAAATTGTATACTCCTATCCACAGCTAAATCTACAACATTAACGTAATATTTGATAAATATTTTAAAATTTATTGTCTGATAAAATTATCTTTCATCTTAGTTGGTAACATTTAAAATGATTGTCTAATGAAAAGTAACAAATATTAGTAGGCAGTTTTATTGAATCAATAAATACCCACGGATTTTAAATGGAAAAGAACAGCTGATACCCCCATGTATGTAAGACCTCACATGTGTATCATGGGGGTGAATAAAAGAGGGTCTAGTCAGTGAAGCGTACGAGCTTGCAGGGGTGCATTAGGGATATAACCCTAAGTCTTGTAACAGCTGACTGCTTTCTCATTAATATGTACGTTACAAACATTTTTCCCTTCAACTTTTATAATTTATATATATTTTTATTTCATATTCAAGTTTGTATAATAAAATAAACGTAAAAATAAAATTTTCAAATATTTAAAATAATTATTCTTTTATCATGAGTATAATGAAAACGACTTTATCACAATAACCTTTTCGCAATGGCAGTACAAATAAATGACTAGAGATAAAATTTTCAATTGGTGTCGGATTGATTGCATTTAAGAAAACATTTTTTATGTTAAACTTTTAAGAAGATAATTTTTTTTTTTGCTTTTACTTATATTATTAACGATTTTATTTATGTCATTTTCACAAGATCAAAAGTAACTTGACGTTGAACTAAATTGCATAACTTTTTCAATTAAAAATGTTCTATGAAATGAGTTCATGTTTTGAATATAAAACGTAGCTGATATGAGTTTACTTTAAAATACAAAACACTGATATTTGTTACTTAATAATATAGCTTGTGCGATACTATAAACTGATTGAAATTAATGTTTAATTATCAATTCAAATATCATTACAGTGTCAACTGTTTAATTTTTTCTTTCTTGATGTGTATTTGCTTTTGTTATAAAATATCTAAAATATAAATAAATATTTAAATAAAAATAAGATAGTAATAAAATTATTCTTACCAGTTATACGTGATTGATTTCTCGCAGTAACAGGCAAAATTGGTGTCGTAGGGTCTTCCATTAGACAGTGTTTATGTCTACAACTTTCGTCGACAAAATGTTCGTCAGATTCTCCAATATCCGGTACTCGAGGATCTTGTGGTGGAGTTCTTTCGGCTTTCCCAACTTCAATGACGTCAGTGTTCATGGGAGAAACCGACATGGATCTTCTAGATGATACAAATGATGATGTTGGTTCACTTTGTTTTCTTGGTGTTGGAGGTGAATTCTTTCTCAGATAGGGCATTCCTCTGAGAGCATAAGGTTCCGGTACGACTTCTGCTGGTGCAACAATTTCCCAATCATATCTTGAATTTTCTTTGGGAATTTCACGATGGAAATCAAAACCCCAACGTTCAGCATCAAGTCGAGATTGAACTTCAAGTTCACGTTCAACGAGTGCTCGTGCTGCTACACGATCAACGGGTCCAAAAAGATCCCGCCGGACTCTTGCAAGAGCCGCTCGACTTGGTGCAACACGGCCACCACCCCCTAGATTACGACTTTCAGTCATCATCGCCGGATTCATTACTCTCGCGCTCATATTTTACTTCTACTTATTGTGACTTTTTTAATTTTCGCCTTGATACTTTAAATAATTTATTAAAAAATTATGTTAAAAAAGAAATTCTTCACTTTTGTTTGACAATTATTTTTATAAATTCGAGGTTAGAAAGTCAAGTTTTTAAAAAATTTATAGAAAAAATTAAATCTCCCGCGTGACACAACACCATTTCAATTAATAGATTGTAAAAACATTTAGGCCTACTATAGACTTTGAGAAGAATTAGTAGCTTGATGAAACTCAGCACGAGGATAGTTTTCCAGGAATTTCTTACCAAGTTACACACGTATTTACAGGCCACACTGCGCACCAATACGCGTGTGTATTAATGTACGTTTTCTCTCTCTATCTATCACAAACATAACATATACACACACAAACTTTTTAGTGGCCTCTGGCAGACTAGAGTAGCGTGCGCAGCATTGAGATGTGGCAACGTTGTATATGCCTTGGTTTCGAACAAGTTCTGACGTAGATGCTTGAAAGGCGGGAGAAATTATTGCATTATATCAAATTAACTTTAACAAAAATTTTTAATTATTCAAATATATAATTTTTTTTCAATATCACTAGGTTAATTATATTAACACTTTATTTTTATTACTTATAACTTCACAGTCACATACTCCAATATTTTTCTTTCTCTGCCTTGTCTCCTCCTGGCAACGCCGAATAGCGGGTCTTAAAGAGAGCGTCAATCGCTTGTGACAATTTGGCAACACTGCATACAACGCACTTGCGTGTGAGACGTAGAATAAGTTGAGTTTTAATCACGTTCTCTTACATACTCGTTGTAATAACTTTAATATTATTTTATCCAGTATTTCAACAAGTGTACCAAATATCACTTTATAATAATCATAATTGCACTATGATTACCACTAAATTCATTTTTTTTTAACTCACACCTTCGACATTTTTATCCGACATTAAATCATTGTAGCGTAACAGTATTTTATAATAATATATTAACAGTTATTAACTATAATACGGCTTTCAATATAATGTTAAACACTTGGTAGATATGTATACAGACAAAACCCGCCAAGTTCGACGATAAGCGCGTGCGTGTTGATATACTTAGGTAAAGCAAATTTGAAAACGCTGGCGCAGTTTTGTAAGAGTGAAAATACCATCGAGCGCAGATACGTGTAACTTACGTGATAAGCGCTCTCTAGCGACTGGTGTTGGTGCTGTTTGCTGCAGGCGTCCTCAAGACTCAACTCAACTTCGGCTCTTATCGGTATTATTCGGTTAATTTCTATCATTTGCGCATGCGCATTACCCCACTGTTATTACACTTTTGTCTCACCCCATCGTCTCCCCTCACTCCAATTCTCCAAGATGCAACCGCCATTTCATGATTTCATACTTCCCGCTATGTATACTTGGCTCTACATAAGCGCATTCGTTTCGTCTTTCGAGATTGAGTAAAACTAACTACAATACTTGTGAGCTATTAAACGTTTAATCACAGAAACGAGACTCTGATAGTAACTAATTATTATTTTCTTTGATAATTTTTTTTTTTTTTTCGAACTTAACCTATTGTGATTTTTTTTTTTCATTTCTCATATCATGTTAAATACAACAATAGAACATACTTGTTTATCAAAAATACATCTGTTTTTTTTTCTATAAAAACTCCGAAAACAGAATTGGAGCAAATATGACATTTTGATATTTTTTTTTTTTTTTGATAAAATTAAAAGATGTCTCATTATATTATCTTAGGTTATAATGATAAGAAATTATTTTAAATTAAAAAACACATAAATATTTTCAAAATAATAACGATTATAGTGAAACAAAAAAAAACAAGTATTATTTGAGATTATCTATTAATTTTGTTAGTCAGTATAATTTAGCTCATTGAGATTATACCTAATCTTATAAGTTTCATTGAACTGTAAAATCGAATTCACGAACTGAAAAAAATATAATTAATATATTGTAGGTGAATTATTGCAATAAATATTAAGTATATCCATCATAAATATTTATAATTTATATGTCTGGATGATTGAAGAATTTTTTTTTTTAAATTAATGCATGTTATAGAAGTAGTTGTAAAATTGTGACTGTGAATTAAATTATATTTGTTGATAAATATAAGCCGAAATAATAATGATCCATAATTCTTGATCATAGATCTCCTTTATGTCTGGTGACCCCAGTTGATGATTGTGTGATAGAGAAAAGGTAATATATGTCATTGATAAAATTTTCAGATTATTCTTCAGTTAATGTGATTAAGTGTATTGACATCGTATGCCCGAGGAAGAATTTTTAATTTGATATTGAAATACTGAAAAAATATTTTAAATCTCTTCAACATAAAAGAGGATACTGATTAATCAGTATCATTTTTCATACTATAGTATGAAAACTCTCGAAGAGTGTACCGTAGATAATAATGACCACGTGAACCAATCATAGCTGTACAATTCTTCCAATAAGTGTAAGTCTGTGCCTGCTAGATTCTTTGCCGGGAGATTGTGGAGGCGTCGATTCTTTTACAGACAGCAGCATCATCATCATCATTTTGTGTGAGTCAACGTTCATAAGTAGAGTTATCAAAGTAAAGAAAATTTATTAATTACTTGCATGAATTTTATTAAAATATATTATCAAATGGTAGATATTTTTTATACAAAACATATCAAATTTTAATGTGTCATATAAATTCATTTCTTTCACAGTTATTGTATATATTTTAATAGCTTGAAGGTTGCAAAGGAAGATGTGGGTTAAAAACACAAGTTCTATAATACTTTCGCTTTTAATCTCCCTTTGCTCGATAAATTTTCTATACATTATGTGTATATTTATAGAAATTGAAAAATAAAATCTTATCAATAAGTCGTTAAGAAACCTGTTTTCATTTAATTAAATGCAGAAAATAAAATGACCCAATTTTGATTTTCTAAACCAACAGCTTTTCTCATAACACTTAATTATAATAATTCATTTTAAATCTTATTAATATTATGACTAATAAATATTTATTAATTTTAAATATCTCTACGATTGAAAGACAATGATTGCAAAAATTATTTGATAATAAAAGTACTATTTTTACAAGCAATAAAATGCCCAAATTAAAATAAAAATACTCATTTAAGTTATCACTTATGAATTTAAATTCAAATCTTATACATACATAATTCAATAGATGTATTTGGTTGCATTGTATAGTAGTACGTCATGGATACATAACCGAAACTGGGTCGTACTCAGACATGAGATAAACTTTTTTGTGTTTTTCTCTTTGCTTTCAACCATTATCAATTCATACATTCGCATTTATATTTATAAAAAAGTCAGTGATGATGGGAATTAACTTTTAGTTGGCCTAATTATATTGCAGAATAAATTAATTTAAAGTAATAAATATTAATAAAACAAATTTTTCTCTAATTGATGTGCATCTGCAGTAATACAGATTACATTGACATGAAGTTATTATTACTTGTTTCTTGTTTATTATCAGTCTCTTTAAAATCTTCATGAGGTCGAACATATTCCCAATTACCAGGTAAAGGTCGACCATTAACAAAATCAAAATTCCATTTTTCTTCCATCTATAATAAATAAATAAACCATTAATAATAATTAGAAACTATTTAAAATGAATATCTTAATTACTATATATTCATTATTGACAGACTTTAATGTTAAATAGTTCAAAATTTGATAAAATAATACCTTTTTTCTAGCCATGTCTATTTCTTCTAAAAACTTGTTAGTTAAATTTTCATCAGCAGCTTGACTTTTTCCATTTTGATCCTCTTCATCTACAAACAATTTCCTTCGTACTTTTGTTAATTTTTTATTTTTATCATCACTGTACTTGTTCTGTTCCATTATCAAATTTTCCGGTTATGTATCACTGTAAATTGATAATCAGAATGATAATTGGCACACTTTCATCGTGTGAGTAAACATTACAGCATGGTACGTTCTATATCAGACAGATCGACGCCTAAGTCAAGTAAAACACAAAGAGGAATAGTAAGTTTAATTCAAGATACCAACGGGATTATTTACTTTCTGGGAATTCTGGTATGATTTATTCATCACTACACTATTTTATTCCTATCTAGACATATTGATAGTAATTAAATTGTTGTAATATTTTATAAAATTTTTAATAAATTTTTAAACATAATCTAATAAACAAAAAAAAAAAGTATTTTGGTATTTATTTTTAAATAAATTATCACTCTATTGTGTAAGTATATAACAAATGTTCATTTGAAACAAAGAAAAGTCTTGACAACTATGATGATTTACTCACAATTTTTCCAGGTATTCTATTCACTTTTTTTATTGTTGTGATCACATATGAAAATCACGTGGTCATCAGTAAAATTTTAAAACAGAAAGGCATTTTGTTGCAATATGCCAATTGATAAGAATACCGACTGAAAAGGAATCAATATCCTGAATGGTTGTTAGGGTAACTCCCAATCCCATATTGGGGAAGATTCAGGGTTGCGTACGCAACTAAATTTATATTTTATTCTCTTATATCTCTAAAAAGCATGCGCTAATATCAATTAAAAATTCAACTAAACATTATTGTTTTCAATGTAACCAAATCATCATGTGACAAGCAATTTGAATGGTCACTTGAAAGATCATTCATTCAAAGTTATTTGATAAGAATATTATTATTTCATAATTTTATTTAAAAGTCTATTGGATTATATATGAATTAAGAAGTATCACTTTCAATTTTCCTTTAAATATTTCAACTAAAAGTTTTAAGAAACACTTCTTGATTTTCGTAGGAAATAAATAGTTGATTATTAAATCATTAAGTAATGACCTAAGTTGATGGATATTACTTTGTTATTTTCTTAAATAATTAATCACTTAATTGTTTGATAAAACATTTTGTTGAAATAACGAATTTTTATTTAAATTAACAAAGAAAAGTACTACCTTTCACGGAGGCTGAAATGCAACTGAGAGTAGGTAAAATCTATACACAATGCTAGTACAGTGTACACTGCAATTGTAGGCTATAAGTAACGGAGCTAGCCTAGATTCACTTGTTCATTAAAACATACACATATGACGTGGCATTTTTAGTGAACATTATCAAGATATTTTCACGTCATTCCAAGTGTCCATTTATTTTCTGCAGCATTCCATCAATTGTATTCAACTCTGGTATACACTTTTTCCTTTCCAGGCATTTTTACAGTTTTCGATGATCTTCTCAGTTACAAAATTAGCACTGTTGTAAGAAATATTTTTCATTAATTTATTTAGCGGTATTTAAATGATCAATTTTATTGTTATTCCATTATGAAGTTTGAGTAAAAGATAAACATACGTTTTTGACCCATTCGGGTGGGATGAATGACCGGCTAATAAGATTCTCGTCTAACGGCGACTCTTGTATGCATCAAATATGAATGTAATGGACGGATTCGATTGTAGACTGAGTAAGATCCTTGAAACAATAACAAAAAATTCCACTACTTTTTATTGAATATTAACTATTTTTAAATATTCTTGAAAAACATACCTTTTTCTGTTGATGATCAAATTGCATTTTTCCGGGTGCATAAAAAATTTATAAAGAAAAAATAACAATTAAATTCATTGTAAATATAATGGTTTCTAGCCAAAATTAGATCACCAGCATGAAAGAATTGATTTTTTCAACATTGGTGTAAAATTAACCTCTTTTATTCACCAAGATTCTTTATTTCTAATGATTGATAGGAATCAGTCTTATAAAATTCAATTTTACAATAAATATTGTAACAATGTTTGTCAAATAACTATTGAGATCTTTATGTTAAAAATTAACATTTCTAAAAATTAGAGTAAGTAGACCAATAAACGAACACCATGTTGAAGATGGTAACCTGTGAGAAGAATAAACAAATTTCAATAAAATGTTTTTGATATTGTATTCGTTGATTAGTGGGTTTACCTTTTAATCCATTTTGGTAGCGTAATGAACACATGTTTGTAATAATGAGTCTTTTTAATAATAATTACTTCATTCAGTTCACAAGCCATCATCAAAGAACTGAAAATTCAGTGAGAAGTGTAGTAGATAAAGATTCTCACAGGTTTTACCACATCCAAAATTTGTGGTGATATTCTATTTCGAGAGAATACCACAAGTGGTTTATTAACAAATTTATATCACCAGGTAAATAACATCTACCCTTTGAGACTAATATTATTTAGGCTATAATAACCTCAAATTTAGAATGATTAGTTATTGCATAAAAATGGCAAGTTTATGAATAGATATCCAATGTTAATCAATACTTATTGGAAATATAACTGTCAAATACATAAATACGTTGATGTGGTTGATCAGATTACATTAAAAAGGAAGTGTAAAAGAATGAAAATCTTGAGAATTGATGATGTATACTGTTTAAGGGAAGCCAACTTCCGTTTGTGGCTTTCACGGAAGTCAATCTGACAAAAGGATGCTCAGGAGTGTAATGGACACCGATAGTCTGTCGCGAAAAGAAACCACGTATCCTGATCACAAATGCGGGCTGCTTACTTACTGGTTTCAACCAGCTCAACAATAGCTAAGACTGAGATATTTTAGGCTCTCAAGCACAAAGAAATTTAACCCGAACATGAAAATACTCTTAAAAGATTTATGTGACATTTGCAAAAATAAATCTTAAAAAAGAAAATGAGTAATGTTATACTAAAAGTCATATTATTTCACTATTTTTTAAAAAAAATTATTGCAATTTATGTGCCAGGTATTAACACCGACAAGACTTTAGTACCATTTTGTCTTTTACTTGTGCTGGAAGTTATTTCACGGTTCAGAGGGATACTCTGAGGACCTCCAGACAGGATCTAGGTGAGGCATCCGCTATTTCAATTCTCGTCAACATTTACATCCAAGTTTATTAATGAAGATACATTGATTGCATTTCGCTTTAATCATTTATTTTTTTAATTTTCATTTTAAAAATTGATTTATAGATTTTACATTATGATAAGCACATGTGTACACATGAGAAACAAAATTACTTCCATCAATATTTTTAGTTGAATAATCAAAATCAATTATTAAACTATTCATAATTTTATTAAATAAATCATCTACTATTTTAAATCAGTTAAAAAAATCTGTTGGAAAAGTTTTTACTCATTAAAATAATTTTTTTACTTAATTTACTATTTTAGAGTACCAGTCATTAATAGATCTGTGAAAATAGACAAAAGCAGCTGTACTAAATATAATAAAAAACTTTCAATTCAAGTTCGGAGTAACATTTCATGTTCTATGTACTTATAAACATATTGGTGAGGGCGTATGTCAGTGTTGTTTTTTGATCGTAGTAATATATAAATTACTCAAATCCCCATTATGACCCCCATGGAAGCCAGCCAGGTGTTATAGAACGTTATAAATTTCATCTTTGATCTTTTGGAGCTGCTTCTTCAGCTGTCTAATATTTGAGGATTATTACACTGTGGCCACAGCACGTGCCATCAATTTTGCGTGTGACACGAATTGTTAGACAACGAGCGAAATACAGTCAGGCTTGATAAGGAATTAATGATAATGTTTTTTTACTGTTGTAGTACAATTAGGATTGCCAAATGATAGACTATACAGACGGGAAAAAAATATTCTGTGGTTTCAATATAATGCATGCAGTCTACCCCTTTTATTCTCGATAAAGTCTAATGATTTCGATAATTATGTAGTCAAATGAAAGGATGAATCATTAAATACACCAAATTTGTAATGAAATACGAATTGTTTATTGAATTGAACTTAAAAAAAATTAGTGACTAGAGTTGTTTTAAAATATCATCAGAAAATAAAATATACACAGTATTTGAAAAAGAAAACAATTACATTAAGTTAAGGAGTGTGAATTGTTCTCCATCATTGATCTTGAGTTAAACAATTAATTAGTCTTTGGAGGTGCTGCATCGTTGGTTCATTAAAGAATCAACCGTTTCAGGCTTCTGATGGATTTCATTGTTGAGACATTTCATTTCAATAAGTTTATTATTTATATCATCATTATTGTTAGTTTTAATGTTAAGTCGTATTAACTGTAAATTACAGAAACATTTACAATGATTTTGTAATCTCAAATAATCCATCTAAACCTCCACTTATCATTCACAAATTATTTACAAAAACTACTTAGATGATATGTGAATAGAACTATACAAATTATTAGGATACTTAGCAATAAATTCTAAATATACATATATATATATAGAAATAAATATACAATTATCTAAAACTAATAATAATAAAATAATTGAGGATCACGATGATAGCATTACATCTTAAAGTTATTCATTTCCAACATTTTTCTTTTTATAAATTTTCTCCTACTTTATATCTTTATTGCAATTCTATTTCATTAATTTCTGAGCATCTTGTTGCTTTTTTGATGTGTCCATGGCAGATACTAATGACTTTTTATTTCCATCGTTTTTACGTGATCTCCAATAATCTGTAACAAAAATAATAAATAATATAATACATTTCTTTTTATTTATATTAGTTGAGATGAAAGATTTAAAAGCTAGAAAAACTTATTCAATTATTCACATCAACACCATATGGTGATTATCTTGGAAAGGTTTTGCAAAAATATCTTTTGTGGCTAGAGATATTCTTCTACAAAAATTCTCTTTTTACTTGTAAACATCTGTTTCAACTATACCTAATGCGCATAACCGCAGATATTTTACAATAAGTCTCTTCTACTTTGGTTGAAATATACTTAACGAACATCTGTTGTATGTGATTTTTCCACATAAATTTCTCAATTTTGTATTGAAATTTATACTGTAAATACTAGAAAAATCCCTTCCTATTCTAAAATATTGGATTTTATGACAAAGTAATAAGAATTTACAACAGAAAATAATAGTAAAGAAAAGAAGAAAAATGTACTATTCGTAGCTTGTAAAGAGTTGAACTTCTTCTTCCGCATCAGCTAAAGCGGTCGATGACCGTTCGTGAGAACTAAGACCTCAAGTTCGTTGCTACACGTTTATAGAATTGTAGTAACAAAAGTAAAAATAGCTGACATAAACTTCCACTATTTCTGACAATTACATTGTTTCGATGACCAATCAGTTTTGTTAATAAAGTAAAATTATGAAAAAACCATGTTTAAGTCATGACAAAAGCAAAGTTGATTTTTTAAAATGCTACCAAGGTAGAATTGACATGTAGAAAAAGAAGTGTTTGTATTTATGTTGATTAAATCATGGGAAAAAGTAATGCGGACTTCTAGATTGACTTGACTGGGTTTCAAGTTGGAACAGGTGCAGCAGAAGGGCTGATGCAAGTTGACGCGCATCGTTGACTCAAGCCCATATCTGGGGGAAAGTAAAGGGATTGGTAGATAAGTAAAACTCAGTTTACTGTATATACATATATGTTCATTTAGTTTCTGAGATATTTTCTCAAAGACATATGTTACATTTCATAATTCATACAGTTTGTTAGATTTTCTGATAAGCGTAATACGATTCTTAAGACCATAAAAAAGGGTCAAATTGGAGCAACATATGTAATTATTTTTATAATATTCTTAAATATGGCAAACAGTAAAGCTGTGATTTTCTCATGACCTTTTTGGGGACACGAAAGAGTTGGAATTTTCATCTCATTCTAATAATATTTATCATCATAAATAATTTAAATAAATAAAATAAAATATTAGCTGTTAACACATTGGCTAATTTGTATTCAATATTAAACTATATAAACAATTTAACAAAAAATTTGTGAAAGAGACAAAAAAATATTGAACAATCACTAATTTTTCTTATTCATGAAAAATAGAGTGGCTGAATCATCAAGGTCCTTCAAGTATTTTGTATAGTAATATAAAGCCATTCTCATGACTCATATGATCCAAGCTATGATTCACGACCAACGAGTCTAGACCCGTTCGTGTCATTGGAAAATTCCTGACATTTTTTAATGCAATAATTCATAAAGCAAATTTATTTATTTTTTTTTTTTGAATACTATTCTATTCAAATTTACTCCATTGTAGCATAAAATAATAATAATAATACCAACAGATTATTTATATTTATTTATAAAAAAAGCATAAAAAATATATTTTGATTTTAAATAAAATTTGATGAAAGATTTGAATAGAATACTAAACACTATTTGATATTGAAGTGTAAAACTAGAAGCCAATGGAGGATAGCAGAGAATAATAAAGGATTAAAGACAAAGAGAAAAGACGGCAAAAAGAGAGAAACAAGAAGAAAGTACATGCGGAACGAGTTCTTGCCACGCGCCTCATCTTTTACTCTCTTTCTATTGTAACTACGTTGTATGTACCACGAGAAGCCCCTCGTGGGCCAACGTTTTCAAGCGTTGTGACTCTTCCAGTTTTCCCGCCAATACTAGTGATCAAGCTTGAGGGGATGCCACAAAGTGTTACTATTTTTTTTTTCTTCATATGCATAGTAACAAATTACTTCTGATACCGAGCCAATAATATTTTCATTCGTATCAAAAGCATTTTTATTTAATTGAGCTAAAAATCAAATATTTGATTAATTTATTGTCCACTGATGTGTACTAATCATACAATAATTGACACGCAATTACCCAAATTGTTCTTTTTCAAAAATTGATTTCTTAATAAAACTATATATTTCAATTATGTATGAATTTATTTCAATTAAATTATTTAAATAATTAATAAAAACTTACCATGAATGTATGTTTGTCGTGAATAGGGTAAAGATTTGTTTTTCCTTGGTGAACGTGAATCACTTCTGTCGAAATTTCTTTGATAATTCTCTTTATCTTCAGTACATGGATCAACACCCCAACGATTTATAAATCTTTTTCGATCTGCATCCAAAGATTCGTGCAAAAGTTCATCAGTGTCCTTGGGATTTGGAGTTCCGAACAGACAACGAGGAACGCGTGACTGCATCCTCGAGGCCAACATGTTACCAAAGTGCACTTCACGACAGAATGGAGCAGCTAACATATTGATTCACTCAAACTTTTTTTATCACAATAGAAAAATAAAGATTAATTAGCAAACATATATCAAATATTTTGCCAAAATTTATTATAATTCAATTAACATCTATTTATACAAATAAATATTTCCACATAAAATCTCTTCTCTCTAAGGCGGACGAAATCGATCTGATGAGACGGTTGCACACCAAGTGTATTCTTGAAGCCACGAGGTCGTTCCCCTTCCAAATGCAAGAAAGTTTGAATTCTATTGGTGTGCGTGGTGAGTGCGCAGTAAAATTGGCGGGCATCACAGGCTAACCAACGGATTATGCTTACTATAAGTGATTTCGAGAGCCCGCACATATACGCAGTTAGTATAGAGTATAAAGGAGAGGCAAAGAAAAGAGAAGGGCACACAAGTCTCAAGTTTTGTTGGAAGGTAAAAAGAAATAAAGCTACAAAATTCAGCGTCTATGAATTAAAAAAAGACTACGAATAAGATAGAAAAGGAAATAACTATTCTTTCATTATAAAGCATCTCCTACTGCTTTTCTTTCCTAAGAAGTTTTACGGATGCTGCGATCACGAATCAACAATTCATACTGCAACGGTTTTTTTTTCATTTTTAAAAAAAATCTTTTGACAAAAAAAATTATATATACCTGTGAATGGTAGATGTATGGCAGAAGTTACGGGACTTTTCATGGTAAAAGTGAAGAAAGGAAAAGCTTTACATTTGTAAGAGAATTAATTGAACAAATGTATCGTGGAAGAAGATTATTGAGGTTATAATTAAACATGTCGACTCTATTTTTGTTTATACCTAAAAAAGAAAGTAAATTCATTAGAATTCAAATAAGACGATGAATGAAATACCTACGACAACTGAAGCATGAAAAAGCAACACTGGGATTCTATTTATCAAACAGCGGATGTTGAGTTTCCGTGTTAATTTTGCCAGTTACAGTCTGATGCGCAGTTGCGAAGGGGATATGTTCTTCGTTGTCTCTCCTGTACATCCTAATTTTGAGTGATGCACCCGAAGGTTAAATCCGGTCAAGCTGTTTAACATTATTCACCACATATTTTTAAATCTTCAATCACTCTTTTAATATGGACGAATTTTTTGTCAACATATCATTTTGAATTTATATCAACTCTGTACTTTGAAATTGATTCCACTCAATAATTTTCAAAAGCAATGCAACAATGAAGAGGGGTGATTTACTCCATGATCATGGTGGTCATTTTGACCGTTAAAATATAAAAAATGATTACTTACAAGTCCAAAATCATGCGGGTTGAAACGTATAAATGGGGAATTAAACAGGTGGATGTTACCGTGACTAGAGGGCGTAACACTTTTTATTGTATATTGTTTTCGTGATTACCCCCACAAGATTCTTAATAGCTCTTGAGTAGTAAATTAAAATACATTAAATCACTCTACAATGTATAAAAAAACATTACTCATGTGCATATAAATTACTCATGTTGTACATAAATGTTAAATACATGAAATAGTTAAAAATATATTAAATATTGTGCATAAATCAGAAAAGAGTTGAACACCAGTAAATGTGGCAATTAAAGCGTATAACTTTATCCTGTACAAACAGTTTAGACCCATCCAACTTTCACCCACGTGTTTGTGGGGTTATGAAAACATGAGTTGTTTTTTTTTCAAACAGTGTTGAATGTTAATGGAAAAATCAATTAAATGAAGTTTTGTGTGAAAAAATGGAAACAGTTGGAAGGATGCGAAATTTAAAACGGAAACGATCGACAGCAGCTGACTCGCAGCCTCAAACTAATATAAACTTAGGTTTTGTGTGTGCGTTGGCGTGCTCGAATGAAGTATTGAAGAGCAGTGTAGAGAAGAAAGATTGGGCTTGGTAAGATGGTAAAGTGAGAGTGAGAAAAAATTGTAACTTTACCCTTTTAGGTTCGTGATCGGTTCCAGCACCTGGTTACATCTGCCCATAAGAAATCCAGGTAATCATTTGACCGTTACAAAATTCGACTTGTCAACTAAAAATTTCTTCAATAGTTATTCATTTCATCGATGATCAATGGATCTGTACTATTGGAAAGCAGTAATGGCTATATATTTTAATCCTACTCCATCTATGTTGTCATGATTGGTGGTATCATTGAGACATTCAAAACACAAGGTAAGCATATTTTCTTTGACAATACAATTAGATGATTTTTCATTTTCGCATAAATCATGAAAAGTTTATTTTTAAAAAAAACATTCCCAATGTCTTAAAGGTCTATCTAGAAAAAATTTAAAAGTCCGTTAAAGTTAGCAAAAGACTTTAAACGTCCGGAGCACCAGCTGTTCCTCCCACTCTTGTCTCTTTTATTTCTTTTAGATCCTGTTGCTATCTTTGCCGAGTATCGCGAGATGATTTTGGGGGTTGAGTGTAGTGGTGAAGTTGGTGGAGCAAAAGAAAGCCTCTTTCAGGCAGCTGGATCATGAAAGATCTTGTAAAATACTCACTCACGCCCCTCACTTTTCGTCTTCCTACTTATATACGGTCTACATCTATTTCTTATATGCTATATATAGTAAACCTACAGCTCACAAGCCCTTCTGTTCGTGGGGGTGTAGGATATCAGTTATTCGTTTCACTTCTGCTCATTTCAGGATCGCCAGATGTTGATAATTAAAGTATGATGATGCTCTTTTTTTTTAATAATTAGTCCAAATTTAGATAGAATTTTAGCAGATTTTGTGACTTCAATAAATCAAGATATAAATGATGAATATTTCTTTGTTAGAGTTCACTACAAAAGAAGTTGACCTCTTTGTGATGGATATGGACAATGCAGTGTTTGACAACTGATAAGAAAAGTGACAAAGGGTGTGAAATTTCCCGCCGTTTATGTTTGGCGGGAATTCGGAACTGGAAGTGAAGATTGTAACGGCCGTTGGTCTTTTTGGTTCTTCGAAAGTGGCAGGTGCAACTCGGCCAGACTTCATTAAACGCAATCCCATCTGCGTCCTCGTGTTTTCAAGACGCCACTCGCGGTTGGCATTCCTAAGAGAAGGAAGACGAGGATGAAAAGAGCCAAGGAAGAGGAAGAAGGAGAACGGAAAGACGCACGTGCACTTCTTTCTCATCTTGACTTTTTTAGTTTCTTTACTCTCCTGACCGTTGAAAATTTTTCCCATGGCAACAGTCTATTTCATCACCTCATTTTGCAACAAAAACTGCCATTATCCAATGTCATAGCACTCACATACAATCATTTATCTCAACAAAAGACTCTTTAATTGATGATAATAACAAATAATATTATTAATTTTTAAAAATAACTGGATAAAAATAGAAAACACGTGCGTGAATCTTTTGGGGACTTGATAGCTAGTTAAGGGATAATATGGATGAAGGAAGGAAGATCTATTGAAGAAAAACAGCGATAGGGATGTCAAGATGGTTAAGAATTATTTCTTGGAAGTCAGAGCATGTCGCGTGGCTAACCCAGAACTGCGCGTGCCATTTCTTTTATATCTTGGATGCCTATTAAACTTGAGTGTTTCTTATATTCCTGACTAACTTTAAAAAAATTACAATTATGGTAAATTATCATCTTCCCATCATTTTGAAGTCCATATAAATATCTTTTGGTACTACAGCTGAAGTTAAAAGTTAAATTGGCAAACTTGCTTAAAAAGTGTTATTAATATAATAAATATTATTGAGCAACACAAATTTATGTAGTCATTACTTGCAAATTAACATCTTAGGGGTTTTAAATTTTAAAGGGAATCCAGATCCCACAGGCATAAATTTGTTTAAGCTGCGTGAGGTGAACAGCTGACAAATACTTTAAGGGAGATCAGCACACAGGTAGTACCCAGTGTGGAAAAATACTTTTCACACCATGGGAAAAACCGTTACAAATTTAATGTGTTGATTGAACTTATTGGTATTTATAATTTAACATTCATTCCTTAAAAAAAAAAACAACAATGACCATTATCTTCTTCCTTTAAGATCGACATGTAGATGTTGTTGAAATTATTATCAGCAAGTTTGTTTGAGCACGCGTTTGTGTAAGCCTTCTATTCTATGTATTTAGTCAGGCGATGAAGTACAGAAAAAAATAAAATATTATTCATTGTATGGTACATAAAAGTTTGCACCTGCCAACTAAATGTTTAGCATACAAATTTACACAGTTTTTTGGCATCTGCGTTTGACGTAAATCTATTTTTTTTTTTTACAATTTTAACTTGAAAATTTTGTCAATGTTGTTTCAGTTATATCATGTGTATGTAATCTGAGGAAATTATAATTACAGACTTAATTTATTGCTTCCATAGATATCTTCTGTAGATTTTATAAACAGAATTATTGAATTTAAATATGTAATTGCGGTTGAAGTAATTATATCTCTAGAATTTTCAACACAGTGTAGTTGATAGAAATGTTCATTGAAGCCTATCATAAGTGGTTAGAGTTTGCTGTTTTATATTATGAGAATTTTCAACCTAACCTGCAGTGCATCTGACATGGGGGTTGAATTGAAATTAATTCTCACAGTGAATTTGAAGTAAAAAAAATTTTCTCTTAAGCCGGAAATAAAAATCAATGATAAATATAATGCTAAAATGTATTGTTAGCTCGGTTGTTTAGTTAATTAGAAAAAAATCCTTCAAAAACTGATACCATCTGTTTTTAAGTTATGATACATCCAGGTGTTAAATGAGGGGTGTGGTCATCACTTACATTTCCATCATACTCATTATATTGTCGTGATAACTGATCTATACTGATAGAATTTCTCGACTAAATATACGATTGAAGCATGATTAAGCAATTAAACTGCATACAGTGTTATTTATATAATTTCAAAAATTTTATGAATTCGAAAATGAATTTAATTTGAGCTTAAATTATATCTATTTATTTGATGAAATTCTTTTAATATAAAAATGTATGAATAATCTTTAATAAGATTTAAAAATGAGTGTATATGAAGTTTTGCACGATAATTAAACAGATGACGTGATGATAAAGAATAAATTATAATGATAATTACAGAAATTAAAATAGGTATACCATGACGACTATTCGTGCATTAATATGTTCAATAGTGACAACATAAATTGTCTGTTTAAATTAGCTACTCTAACTGATACTTGTTCCCAACACCATATGCAGTTAAAACTAAACGAAATAAAACTATTTTCCCAATAAAGAATATTGAAAATGATTATTCATAATGTTTATATAAACAAGTTTTCATAAAATTTATTATTAAAGATAAACTTTTATTAGCTAATTATTTAAATCTTTAACAATAATTTATAATAATTAACTGATATATTAATATGGCAATAATTGATTTTTTATGTAAAAAAAGTCATTAATATAAATACTGTCATGCCATCTGATAAATTGACATTGCCATTGTAATATTATAAGTTTCATTAATTAACTCTACAATGTAAAATATGCATTGAAATGTTATACTATCTATAATTATTCAATGAGTCACAAAAATATTATCTTATACTGATTAAACTAATTACATATATCATTTTACATATTACTTTTTGAGCTAATAGTAATTATTATTTTAAATATTCTATAATTTTAATTAGATACTCTATAAATTACTTAAGGAAGTTCTCGTGATCTTACTTTTTTATGTTTTTTCGCCATGTAGTATAAAATAACTACAATGATTATAATTGCTACTACTAGTCCTGCTAGAATACCAGCGATATTCATTCCAGCTGAAATGCAATCTTCCACTAGAAAAAGAAATTATCCATTTATTAGTTATCTATTTTTTTTTTAAAATCTACAAATAAATGTATTTATATCAATTTTACCTATTTTTGATGATAGATTGCTGTCAGTATTAAATACAATTAAAGAAACATTTCTTATAGATAATTTGATGTTTTCAGCAGTTATTTCTGTTACAGTATTACATACATAATGTCCAGTGTTCTTTTGAGTTTTAAATAACTTCAAATTGTTGGTTGAATTACCCATCAATGTTCCATCTAAATAGAAAGTATTATAAGTAAAACAAAAATTATCTAGTAATTAATGTCTTAATTATTGTTCAAAAGAGAATCATTAAGAAATACTTACCAGAAGCATTGGAAAAATGAGTGTTATCAAGGAATAGCCTAGCTTGCACATTATCTAAAGTAGCTACTTTACCATCATTTACAAAATTTAGGACAATGATATTATGTTTTGTATCATTAGTGTTTATCATCGATCTTGGAGTTCTTTGTTTCTCTGGTTCTTTCCAATCAAGTATCATTTGTGAGACTTTGTCATCACAAGTGCCACTCACATGAGCTGTCGAGGGAACTTTCATGATTCCATTAGCAGCCTGAAAGTAATAAATAAGATGATGAATCAATACATAAATATTATGAGAAATTTAATGAAAATAAATTGCAAATAACTCATCCAATGAAAAATATTAAACTCACCTGATGATTTTTTTTTTTGTAAGCAACACTTAGAGTCATCGTCATATTTGCTAGAATACACGGGACTCCAGTTGACTCATTTGCCACAACATAATTAAACTTATCACCTGACATAGTAAATAATTCAATAGAAGATGAAGTAGTAGGAGAGACAGTTGATGATTTTCGAGTAGTAGGAGTAGTAGAAGAATGGGAATCATGTTTAGTAGTAAGATTACCAGATGCTACAGTTGTAATTGTCGTTGTCGATTGTGATGGAGTAGTTTCATTAGATGATTTTGTAGTTACTTTAGTCGTACCCTTTGATGTAGTACTAGGTACAGTTGTCATTTCTGTTGTATTTACACTGCTATCATTTTTAGTAGTAACTTTAGCAGTTGAATTATCAGCCAAAGTTTCCATCACAATTCCGCCAAAAATTTCCATCTTCACTTCAGTTTTTGCTTCAGTGGTACTAGTAGTTGATGCTTCAGTAGTACTAGTAGCTGATGCTTCAGTAGTACTAGTAGCTGATGCTTTTGTAGTACTAGTAGCTGATCCTTCAGTAGTACTAGTAGCTGATGCTTTTGTAGTACTAGTAGCTGATCCTTCAGTAGTACTAGTAGCTGATTCTTCAGTAGTACTATTTAATGAATGAACTTTCGTAGTTGCTTCAGTAACCATAGATTTTTCTGTCGAGCCAGAAACAGTTGTTGCATTTTCAGCTTTTTTCGTTGTACCATTATTTAACATAGTAGAAGCTGTACTACTAACAGACTCAACTTTTGTTGTAGGAGCACTGGTAGTAGAAGTAGAAGATGTAGTTGAATTTACACCACTAGGAACATCATTGCCCATATCTGTTGTTGTATGATTATGCATTGATGATGCTGTAGAATTATTAATTTCCGTTTTTCCTTTTGTAGTTGTTTCTGTTTTAGATGTTGTCACTGTTGTTGATGAAGGTGTAGTAGAAGTAGCATTTGTAGCATGATTGGAATCTGTGCTATTAACATGATTAACTATAATTGATGTTGATTTAGCATCAACAGTTGTTGTTGGAATAGGTGTTGTAGTAGGTATTACTTCTGTAGTATTAATTGAATGAGTAGAGTCAGAAGTAGATGTTGAAGTATTAGAATTTGTGCTGGTAATCGCACTTGTTGTGCTAGTGATTGCACTTGTTGTTACACTTTTCTCTGTTGAATTACTTGTTTCAGATGTATTTGGAGCAACCGTCAATAAAACGTTTCTTGCTAAACGATCTGGATCTGTTGAATTAGTGGTAGAAGCAACAGTTGTTGCGTTTGAATGAACTGATTCTTCAGTACTATTCTTTTGGGAATGAGGAGTAGTCGAGGTTGGTTGTGGAGTAGTTGATGTTACTACATTTATTGTTGTAGCTGTTGAATTATTTATTGGTGTTGTTGATGTGAGTTCAGTCGCATTAGTGACTGATGTATGAGTAACAGATGAATTATTTGCTAAAGTTGTTGCATCAATTCCAGTAGGTGTTGTGCTGGCTACTGTTGTTGTTTTATCTTCAGTATCACTAGCTGACGATGATACTAAAGTCGTCGAACTTGGAGTTGTACTACTGGTATTTGAATTCGAAGTTGTACCAGTAACATTATTTGTTACGGTAGTACCTTCGGAACTGGTTCCAACTGAAGTAGAATGAATTTTTTTTGTTGAATTTTTGATTACAGTTGATAAAGTTACATGATGAGGATTTGCAGTAGTAGATGTTACATTTGATGTTAGAATAGTCGAACTTGTTATATTTTTTCCAGTTACTTTGCTCATTTTTGTTGATGATAGATTAGTTGTTCCAGAAACTGGAGTTGTTACATTAATTGATGCTTTAGTAGTACTTTCTACACTTGTTCCAGTTACATTATGAGTTTTTGTTACATTTATTTTCAATGCAGATAAAGTGGTATTTAAAGAAGAATGCGGAGAAACAGTAGTCGAAGATATGGAAGTAGAGTTATGAGTAGAATTAGAGACAGTAGATGTTGGTAATGTTGTTGTACTTTTTATACCCTTTTCAGTCGTATTATGATGACTTTTTGTTGAATTAGGTTTTAAACTAGAACTAGTAGTAGTAGTAGTAGTATTTGACAGAAGGGAAGAAACAGTAGTTGAGAGTATCGAAGTAGCATTCATAGTAGAATTTGAAACAGCAGTTGATGGTAATGTTGTACTGATTACACTTGTAGTACTATTCATACTTTTTTCAGTTGAATTATGATTTTTAGTTGAATTAACTTTTGGAGTAGATGCAGTTGTAGTAGCATTTGAAGAATGCGAAGAAGTAGTAGTTAAAGAACCAAAAGTAGAATTTGAAACAATAATTGATGGTAATGTTGTACTGGTTATTTTTGTAGTACTATTCATATTTTTTTCAGTGGTATTATGATGTTTAGTTAAATTAACTTTTAGAGTAGATGCAGTTGTAGTTGCATTTAAAGAATGCAAAGAAGTAGAAGAAGAATTTGAAACAGCAGTTGATGGTAATGTTGTACTGGTTATTTTTGTAGTACTATTCATATTTTTTTCAGTGGTATTATGATGTTTAATTGAATTAACTTTTGGAGTAGATGCAGTTGTAGTTGCATTTATAGAATGCAAAGAAGTAGACGAAGAATTTGAAACAATAGTTGATGGTAATGTTGTACTAATTGTATTTGTAGTACTATTAATACTTTTTTCAGTTGCATTATGACTCTTAGTTGAATTAATTTTTAACGTAGATGCAGTTGTAGTAGCATTTAAAGAATGCAAAGAAGTAGAAGTAGAATTTGAAACAATAGTTGATGGTAATGTTGTACTAATTGTATTTGTAGTACTATTAATACTTTTTTCAGTTGCATTATGACTCTTAGTTGAATTAATTTTTAAAGTAGATGCAGTTGTAGTAGCATTTAAAGAACGCAAAGAAATAGTAGTTGAAGATACAGAAGTAGAATTTGAAACAATAGTTGATGGTAATGTTGTACTTGTTATATTTGACTGACCTCCAGTATGATTATTAGTTGAATTTTTCCCAGATGTCGTATGGGCTACATTGAGAAAACCATTACTAAAATTACTGAATGCAAACATATCGAAGAGAAAACTCATAATCTGTTCTTTATGTTTATTATTTATTGTTAAACCTGATGTTGCTGATATTATGGTATTTTGATGCTTATTACTATTATTCTTAGTTATAGCATGCAAAGGATTTATGGTACTTAAATGATCCATACCACCAATTAAAGTATTAGGTTTCATGCTTGTTACTTTTTTTTTATCTACGATAGTTACTTTTATTTAATTTATTAGGATTTAAGGAGTTTTAAATAATCAAATGTTTTGTTTTTCTATAATATTACCTGAACTTGATGGTATCGTGGTTGCTATTGTAGTGGAATCATTTTCAGTAACACTTGTTTGTGCTAGTGTTGTTGTTGCTACAATTTAAAAATTCAAAAATAATCAACAATAAATTCAATAAAAATTTGCAAAAAAATACTCGACTATGAATTTATTGTTTATTAAAAAAACAATTATCTTTAACATGATAAATAGCTATTTGTATAATCATAAACTATTTTTACCTTCATTGATTAGAGCTAAATTGAATGTAACAGCAACAAATAACACTGTACGTATAATCCACATTTTGATCCAAAAATTCAAAACGATTGAAACAAACTCAACACTTCATACTCTTTATAAGATCAATTCTAAAGTTAGATGGGGTCAGTAATGATGATGAGTCTTTCACTATTGTATTAATGTATGTAGATAACAATTTAGTGGTAGCTAATTAGGTGTGTACTAGACGACTGTCGTGGAAAAACTGAAAATGTTCAGATATATTAACGCAAAGTTATTGAAGATCTGGCCTTTGTAATATTCAATATCTTAACCCCCCCACTCTACTAAGTCAATTTAAGTCATGAAATTTTTAGTCTGTACAACGGTGATTGCTTATGTCGTTAAAGAAAAGCACGTATTACTCGAATAACAATCTGTCATCGTCATATCATACAAACACACTTTTAAATTTTACATATACCTTAATATCGTTTTGATGTTAAAACATTAGAGTAATGTAACTCATTTCAATTATCTTTAATAAGTTTTCATTAAATTAATTATATCGTTGGTAATAAATTTTATTGAAGAAATATTTAATTGTTAACTAGATTGATATAAAATTTTGTTTAATGTCTTTTTAAATGAAGTATTTGTTCTACATAGACCCTAACAAAACCAATGAACCCATTTGGCCCACTATTTAAATATTAAAAATGATATTCCTAAGAAATTATTTTAATTATAAATATTTTATTCTTTTTTTATGATGTTTCAGGTCAGGACAATTGATGATTGGGATTTTCGTGGTTTTAATGAGTCCACAGTATATATATATATATATGGCAAATCAAAATTTATGCAGCTTGGAGCATAAATCGGAAGTGGTTGCATGCACTAACGAATATAGTTGGAAACCATGACATTTAGGATTTTATCGTTGCGTCAAAACCAAATTTCATTGAAAAAACTGATGATTAACATTAAAATTTACCACAGCTGTCTGACTGTTATACTTTTTACTAACCCAATCATTTTCATTCACATTATAATTTTCATAAAAACCACTTGACATAATAATTACTTTTTTATTACTAGTTTAATATATAATTTATCTATGTCAAGGCTACTTATATAGTTTTCAAATTGATATCTCAATAGTAAGACATGTTTGATATGACAAAAGATTCATTAACATATTCAGAAAAATAATTGAAATTTTAAGAAAACATTTATTGTTAATTGTCAACCATTTCTATTACCCATAATCCTTGAATCAGACAAAACAATTGTCAATTTAATACATAAATATGGATTTTTATTATTTTACATTTCTTTGAATTGCGTCTCAATTTTAGCTTATTCATATTTTTTTTTTTTTTGTATTTATATTACTCTCACTTTAACTGTCATTGTAAATATAATAACTCATTTTTCAGTACATATTTATTCAAAGAAATTTCATTTTTGTCAAATTCAACTATTGGATTATGATAATTATTTATTGTCTATCAAATTAATGAGTTAATTAGTTATAATTCAAAACAAAAATTATTTTATTTGTTTAAGATAAATATATATAGATTAAAATATATAGATATATATTTATTTTAAAATTCTAATTAATTATCATGAATGTTTCATTAAGATTTTATTACTAATCAATTGCCTTTAACAATATACTCTTTAGTGGAATTCATTCTGGTATCATGAAATTCATTACTAATATTTAAATAAATTATTTTATCTAATTGTCATTAATTAAAAACACTTTTGATATATTTTAGTTATTTTAATGGAATTTTCCATTACTTTTTTCAATTGAAAAAAATATTTAGTTAAGTATTTAATATTATTGTTTTATTACACACAAACAAAAATAAAAATGAAGATATTATTTTAATGATAATTTAGAGTTATAATATAAAATTAAAAGTTGTATCGAATTTTTGAATATTGTAAAATGATCAATTTTCTTTTGTTGATGATATTTGAGAACACACCATACGTCATCCATGACGAGATGGATCGTGTCGAATTTCTTGGTGTCATCTGCTCTTCGTACTCATCTCGATCGATCGAAAGATCGTCCATATCATATTTCCTGAAAATATTGTCAAATGTCAGCCGTTGTGTTTCGGGTTCGAAATAAGCACGATGTGTTGTTTTATTTTTATTTTGTTTTGTTTTAAGTGTCTGCTTACGATTAACTGCATTAATGTTTTATTATTCTTATATTCATACAAAACTTCCGCACTGTCTGTGATCGACAGTACCGAAAGTCTTAAACATAAATAATAACACAGACACATTTATCATTATGTGTCATCTGCTCAAGGTTCTTCAATGAAGATAAGTTAATGATATTGATCACTTAAATATTTTGTAAGCCAAAAGAAGTGAATTTTCTTAACATACATACATATTTCATGAACTGCATATCAAATTGTGTGACATAGCACACCCCATTAAAGTATATTCAATGCAAAATTGACATAAACAAACTATAGATTTTTTAATATAATTAAAAAATATTTTTAAAGGGTTTAATTTTAATTGGGTTTAAATAAAGAAAGGTTTTTTTTTTTAATAAAAATAATGACTAAGTGTTATAGTTTGTGTATGATAATTTAACATTGAGCAAACTTCAGGTATGTTTTTCTTTATCAACACACTTCAGACTGATGGTGCAGACAAATTTTTCAGTGGCAATCGGAAGTAACATAATTCCTTCATTTACATATGAATAATCATTTAACTCAAGTTCGTTACTATGGAATGACACAGAGATCTGATTGTAATTTATGCTGATTACAATGTAATCGTCAACAATATATGGAGTACAAATTCACGGATGTGGTTTTGGCGTGACCATTACACCCAACAGTCGTGGTATGGTTTAATGAATTTGCAAATTTGTTGTATAATAGTACAAGGTGTACTTACGAAATGAAATATAAAAACAAGGGTAAAATCAATGGGGGTGGCATGAAATAATAAACATGTAAATCTATATATTATTTAAGCTGTGTGTAGTCGAGCATCCTTCCTCTTCCTTCTTTTTAAAGGTTCTAAACTTCCGGAAGCTAGCGCACTTTGGTAAAACATTCATCATTTGTTTTAAAAAAAATCATTTACTTTCTACTTCGTTCTTTTTTTAATAGTTTTTAAGAATAATAATAATTTTAAAAAGATCATATGACAAATTTTAATAAACATTTAAATAATTATTATACTACGACATCATTAAGATCCTAAAAAAATATAACCTCCAAGTATTCAAGACAATACTTAACTTTTTAAATAAATGCATATTTTTGTTGTATTTGTAGCTGTGTAGACCTTTAATAAGAAAGGCCTGAGTAAGTTTTAATAAAAAAAATTATTATACCATTATTAATATTAATATAAATGAAATGTATTCAAATTTAGAGTTTTAATTCTAGTCAATGGAGAAAAGAATTCTTTATTTCTCATAATAATAGCTACATTAGTTGTGAGTAATTGACTTATTTTCTGCACCATAAAAATTTACACTTGTTTGGATGGTTGCCCAGTACAAGAAGTAAAATAATTGTCTTCCTGACAAAGAAATAAGTGTTCAAATATTGTGTATAACTGTGCGTACATAATTTTTGAAACTTCCATTTCTAGAAATTGAAATATTTATCCGTTAGTTATTAAAATTAATTTTTTAGCACTTAATAATAGTAAATGTAACAAAGACCCATTAGTTCCATGTAGGGGGGCACGCAGACCACATGGTTGTAACGTATTACGGTCATTCAAGTGAAGCTTTATTGAAAGATATCAAATTTACGGAATTTTAAAGATAAACATTTATAAGTTATCTGTAAGAAGTGATCCTAAACTTTAGATCAGGTTCTAGTAATTGATTAATGACATTTTTAACAGCTGGAGTTTAGAAGAAGTCTTGGGGTAATCCAACACCTTGTGGATTTGAGGCAACTAATAGTTAACTTTAAAACAATAGTCACAATGTGCGATAAAAAACAGTTATTTAACAACTATGCAACGTTTAAACAACTGTTTAGCAGAATGCAACCTTTCTTTTTTTTTAAATGTTAAGAAACAGTTGCCAAAAAAACATCTCTTTACCACATTTAAACCGTTCGCTTACCTTTTAGTTCATTATAACTTGATGTGGCGGATAATTCATTTAGAAACATAAATCTTCTTTCACTCGACAGTCAATGTTTGCTAGAATAAGTTTACTTAATTAGTCAAGTAATGATGCTCTGATCATTTTTTAGCCTTAAGGCCAAGTTCAAGTCACGAAAATAGCTGTTTGCCCGGGGTCGAATTGCAGCATAAATTATGCTTGGATCATAATTTTGACTAGGGCATTGGAAAGCTCTTGCTTTCAGGAATCTATTGATATGCTTGTGGTCCATGTACGACTTATAGATCGTAAGTTATTAGCGAAAAAGAAAGCTATGCTGCAGTAGAGCATAGAAAAACCTTTAAACGCTCATAACTCGAAAACTAAGCGAGATACGGCATTTTTGACGGGGATATCCTATAGGGGGGATCCAATTTAATACTTAGGTCTAGATCTTTCATATGACCCCTCGATCAACCCCGTAGCATCATTAGCATAGAAGTTATGCATATTTTGATGTATTACAGTTTTTCACAAATATCTCGAGATTTTTCTGACCAACCAAAGTCAATAGCTACTGTTTTGGACTCGTCTCGTCAAGATCTTCCTAATGCCATACATAATTTTATGATCTGAGCATAAACACGATTATATGCTATTTTTTAAAGTAAAAAAAAAAATTTCCCTTTTCTTAATAATTGTGGGCTCATTCTCTGCGTTTTGATACTTGAAAATGCGGAAGTTGGTTACCCATTACGAAAATTCATTTTTACACCCCTAAAAACAGGCAAGACTTTGAGCCTTGATAACTCCTAAATGGTAGGTCCAAAAATGTTTTTCAAGGACGTTTTGGAAACCTCGGAATCTGCGCTAAACATACATATTCATACATGACCTTGAAAAAATTTATTTTACCCCTAAAATTGCAAAAATAGAGAAGAAGTCGCACTTTTTTAGGAAGATCACTAAATATTATTGCGATTTTAGGGATGAAATAAATTTTTTCAAGGTTATTTGTAGATATGCACAGTTAGCGAAAACTTCAGAATCTCAGCTAACTGTGCGTATCTATAAATAATCTTGAAAAAATTTATTTCATCCCTAAAATCGCAATAATATTTAGTGATCTTCCTAAAAAAGTGCGACTTCTTCTCTATTTTTGCAATTTTAGGGGTAAAATAAATTTTTTCAAGGTCATGTATGAATATGTATGTTTAGCGCAGATTCCGAGGTTTCCAAAACGTCCTTGAAAAACATTTTTGGACCTACCATTTAGGAGTTATCAAGGCTCAAAGTCTTGCCTGTTTTTAGGGGTGTAAAAATGAATTTTCGTAATGGGTAACCAACTTCCGCATTTTCAAGTATCAAAACGCAGAGAATGAGCCCACAATTATTAAGAAAAGGGAAATTTTTTTTTTTACTTTAAAAAATAGCATATAATCGTGTTTATGCTCAGATCATAAAATTATGTATGGCATTAGGAAGATCTTGACGAGACGAGTCCAAAACAGTAGCTATTGACTTTGGTTGGTCAGAAAAATCTCGAGATATTTGTGAAAAACTGTAATACATCAAAATATGCATAACTTCTATGCTAATGATGCTACGGGGTTGATCGAGGGGTCATATGAAAGATCTAGACCTAAGTATTAAATTGGATCCCCCCTATAGGATATCCCCGTCAAAAATGCCGTATCTCGCTTAGTTTTCGAGTTATGAGCGTTTAAAGGTTTTTCTATGCTCTACTGCAGCATAGCTTTCTTTTTCGCTAATAACTTACGATCTATAAGTCGTACATGGACCACAAGCATATCAATAGATTCGTAAGATCTAGAACTTTCCATTGCACCAGTCAAGATTATGATCCAAGCATAATTTATGCTGCAATTACAGCAATTTTCTGTTTTCAGAAATTTAATTCTAGTATTTCGATCTAATATCACATTCCTAGATGTCGAAAGGAAAATAGTGAGAAGTCAAACTTAGAAATTAGAGAAATTTTATTTTCCAACCACTTTCCATTTTTTTTTTGCTAAAAAATTAAAGGGTTTGATGTCAATGTTTGAATTCTTCTTTTCTCAAGATTGATGCTGAGAAATGCAGTGTAAGGTCAAAAAAATGAAAACAAATCTCTTTACTTTCAAAATAAGTGAAAACAGGAAATTGCTGTAATTGCAGCATAAATTATGCTTGGATCATAATTTTGACTAGGGCATTGGAAAGCTCTTGCTCTCAGGAATCTATTGATATGCCTATGGTCTATGTACGACTTATAGATCGTAAGTTATTAGCGAAAAAGAAAGCTATGCTGCAGTAGAGCATAGAAAAACCTTTAAACGCTCATAACTCGAAAACTAAGCGAGATACGGCATTTTTGACGGGGATATCCTATAGGGGGGATCCAATTTAATACTTAGGTCTAGATCTTTCATATGACCCCTCGATCAACCCCGTAGCATCATTAGCATAGAAGTTATGCATATTTATATTAGGTATTGCCAATTTTCGCAAATATCTCGTAATCTTATTGACTGATTTCCATGTTCGACAACTCATTTTCTTCGTCTTGATGCTGAGAAGTATGGTATTAGATTCAAAATTTAGCAAATTAATTTTTCGACTCTCAAAATGTAATGAAACCGGAAATGGCTACAATTTTAGCAAAAATTTCGCTGGGATCATGATTTTTAATTGCCCGAACTCGCACTTTTCTTTCTGATAACTTAGACGGAGATGGATAGGTATATCCGTTGCTCTGTCTTACCTGGAACTGATGATTCAGAAACTTGTCAATTTCTTGGAGCTCCAACGCTCCCCTTTTTCAGTGTATCCCTGAAAATTATCATCCTTAAACGATTTCCCTGTTACCTAGGCAGGGCATGGGGATAAATTCAACTTTGGGAAACTTCTTGACTTGAGCCCAGCCTTGAAGTTTTATTAAAACACTGGATAAGTCAAATTTATATCAATTACTGATATAAAGGAGTTCAGTTTGAATTTGATATAACTATTGCCATCTGGAGTTTAATCAAAAGAACCTTTTTTACACATTATCTTTGTTAAAGCAATAATAAAATACTACTGAATCATCTGCAGATTACATCCATTTGAATTGTTTTTACCAATTATTGTATAAACAGTTTTGGATTAATCAATAATCAATAATGTTGAAACTCAGAGCTTGACTCAAAACTCTAGCAATATTACTAGTTTTATTTAAATACTCAAATAAATATATGATAAATTATATATAATGATAGATTTTAATATTAGAATGAAATAAAAATTACATGAATAAATTTTTGTTATAGATTTATTATGATTTTATTTTTATTATAGACAACAATTATATATCAGCATCAAAAATAAGTATATCAAGGAATATTATAATCAATAATCAAAATGTTTAAATGATATTTAGTTATTACAATATTAATCGCACACAAAAATAAGTTTTATTGTTGTTATTATCATAAAATGATGCACAGATATGGTTTGAATTATTTTAATTTTTCGAGTCCATGTACATAATATGTATCGATTATAAATAATTGATGCTGTCAATTTTTTTTTTTAAATAACAAATAAAAATGAACACCTATATCTACATGTTTTAAAATTGTACTCAATTATTCTACCTTAAATTTGACTTTGATGTAGTAGAAATACATCAAAAGATACCAAATACATCAATTTTTTTTTTTTATTACACAATATTTTTGGGAAACTTTTTCTAAATATAAATTATAACTAGATGAACTACTTAATTTTTTGATATTATATCTATAAAAATACGTACTATTTTAAAATAAATTCATTCCAAGTCTGGATTGTGTAAAATATTCATAAATTTGATTTAGAAAAACTATTTCAATCATTCGTTTCATTTAATGAAAAAATTATAGTGCAATATTATCATAATAAACTAATCTAACTATGAATGAGTATTTAATTCATTATAAAATTATAATTTAATGATCTAACTTGAAAACAGTGAATAACATCATTAAATTATTCTTTTTAAATATAATGAGATTTATAATTGCTTAATGGAATTGTCATCATAACAATTGTACACGATAATTCGATATCTCATTCAAAAATAGATTTAACGAATTTTCTCTGTATTCAAGTATAATAATATTACCAACATCCACTCTATATTTACAATAACCATGACAGGAACATTTATGAGTAGATAACTACATGTATACTGTTACAATTACTCCACATTTGTACACTAAGATAATACAACGAACATTATTTGCTATGAGAAACAGTTCATATAATAAAATTATCATATAGTAAGCTTCATACAAGCAATGCTTTTCGTTGTTTATCTTAAATAATCTCCAATAGTTATCGATGAAAATACTAAAAACAATAAAATCGCCACAATCGATAATAAATCAGCCTAATATGGTATCAAGTCTCTGCTGGACTTGCTCCAAAATACTATCATTCAATGAACTTTGACGACGTCTGGTTTTCTTTTCAATTTGATAAAAACTGCTAAATTATTAATGTAAAAAATATTTAAAATCTGAATTAAAATAAAAAGTGAATCGAGTTGATGACTAGAGTTAAAATCGTTTGATTTTATATTCTATAATTAGAGCCTTGATCTATCTTGAGTCTGCCTGTCATTAGTATGTAATTTTATATTTGACAATAATATATCTACTGTCAAATATAAAAATTTCAGTTCAAAATTATTAAGGAATTAATTTGTTGATTACAATTGAAAAAATCAGTGATATTAATATTTTCCAGTTCAACATATTTCATATGCATATATAAAAAAATTATTGTAATCAATAAAAAGCTTATTCTATGTAAAATGATGAACTGTGAGACTTATCTAAGGATCAATTTATCATTAATTGATCCCCTTCAATCCATTTTATAATATTCATTAAGATTTCATACTTAAAATCTAATCTATTTCATTACTGATAAGATATTTGTCTAAACATGCTACTAATTTCTTCAATTGTTTTGTTTTTCGTTTCTGGTACTTTCTTCCAAATGAAAACTGTGAAAAGAGCTTGAATGACAACAAAAATTATAAATACATTTGTATCTAAAAGTTTTGTCAACGGCAGGAATGATACAGTGACGATGAAGTTAGCTCCCCAGTTAACAGCAATAGCTATTGAAGTAGCGACAGGTCTTGCTGATTGATTGAAGAGTTCGGAGACTAAGAACCAAGGTATGCTTCCGGGTCCAATGGCAAAAATAACCACAAACATGATGACGAAAATGATAGAACAGTAAGATGCTGCTGCGTTGCCCTTGAAAAGATAATTATCGTCATTAATATTACCATTCATATACTTGTAATATTAAATAATTGTAAGAATGTTATTTTATAAACTTACTGATTGAGCATAACCGATGCAAATAGTGAGTAAAGCTGTATCAATCACCATTCCACCAAAACCGATTAAAAGCAGAGTCTTACGTCCGTATTTTTCAACAAGTACGAGAGATACTAGAGTCATTAAAACATTCATAGCTCCAACACCAAGTGTTGCTGATTGAGCTGCTTCTCCTAAACCTGCCAATCTGAATATTTTATCTGAGAAGAACATGACAGCGTTGATACCAGAGAGTTGTTGAGCCAACATCACCATCAAAGATATAATCAATGGAATTCTCAAAGCTGGATTAACTAGTATTTCTTTTAATGTAACTTTCGGTACTAATTTCATAGATTCATATTCAGATTTCATTTCTTCCATTTCTTCGTAAACTTCATTAGTATTCCGAAGCCATGATAGTGCTCTTTGGGCATCTACTTCTCGTCCCTTGCTGAGTAACAGATACTTTGGACTTTCTGGACAAATCGGTAGAGTAGCACATTGGAAGATAGCTGGTATAATAGTTAAGCAGAGCAAAAGTGGCCAATGTTCGACTGTTCCAAAGAGTTTATCCATACTCAAAATTTGTGCGACTAAGATAGAAATGGTGATAATAAGTTGATAAACTGTGCCAACAGCTCCTCGCAAATGCATTGGTGATATTTCTGCTAGATACATAGGTGTTAGTCCAGCATTAAATCCAGCATTTATACCGATTACAAGTCGACCAATTATAATCATTTCATAACTGCCAGCTATTTTACAGAATCCCTCAAAAAGCACAGTTATGAGAACTAGAATATTATTGAGTAGAAGACCTCCTTTGCGTCCAAAATTATCAGCTATCGTACCGACTAGAGCTCCACCAATCATACCACCAATGCAAAAAATAGAAACTGCGATTGACCATATTCCTGTTACTTCGTCTTCAGTAACTGTTTCATTAGTTCTATTAGATTTAACTTCACCAATCCATGTTTTTATTATCTAAAAGAGTAAACAACTGGTATTAAACACCAAGTAACTCAAACACATAAATATAATGATGTATTGAATAAATTATTCTTACCTCTTGGGGTGAATTAACAACACCAGTATTATAACCATGTTGAAATGCCGAACCCAATGCCGCGGCAGTGATTGCAAACAACAACCGAGCATTTAGACCCTGTAATAAAACATAGAAATAATTCAGTTAAGCTAAACGATTATATATGAGAAGAAAAGAATGTGTACAGCAATTTTAGAGTTTGTTTGATAGGTCAAATGGCCTTTGAAACTGGATCCTCATCATTCAATTAAATTCATCACGTACAAGATTCATCAGTGACTTTCTAGGTAGAACAATTGAGTTTATTGATGTTAATTTACTATGTACCAAATATAGAGAGACTCTAAGACTCTAATATCGCCAACAATATATCATCATTTTATTAGAGATAATAAAATACTCAAATATATCCTGAATAAACCATTTTTCTTAAATTGACATATAATAGCATATAATTGTCATGGATATACTGAATTCTATCAACATATACATCAATTGCAAATTAAATGATATAAAACATTTCGGATATACAATTGCTATATTGTAGTTTAATACAATTATTACTTGATAATGAAGTTTCAAAGTCAATAATTAAATATACCACCATTACCTTTAATATGCTCAGAAACTCGTAAAAATTCATTTTCAATTCAAATGTATTTTTTAATTGAATTTTTTCCTTTACAATGAGAAAGGTTAAAAATATTCTAGATTTTACTTGTTTTTATTTTTCTTCTACAAAAACTGACTTTACTATATAAATTTAAAAAATGAAGTTAAATTATTTGTAGAATGTTTCCAATAATAATAAAAGAAAAACTAATTTATTTTTTAATATGAAATAAAACATCAAAGTTTATTATTGTATGGCTAAAAATATCATACCGCTCTTCGAATGTATGGCATTGCGAATCATCAAAGAATAACTTGAGAGTGTTGAAAAAAAAATGTACTTTTTTACTCTAAACTTGAAGAATTTAAAATTCAAAAAAATCACTTATCCTTTTCCGCTCTCGATATAGCACGTGTAATGTCAAAGACTGCCGGGTCGACACCCTGTTAACGCTCTTATATATTATATATACATAAACTACTACTATCAAATTATTTGCAGACAATCAAATTACTCACATAGTGAGTATGAACGTCATTTATGATAATGAATAGAATAATAAAGAAGCATAAAATTACAATATAACCTCTCAATGTTTATATAAATACATTCAGTGGATGGTATATTGGTATAAAACTGTCCCAAGTTGTAAAAAATATTGAAACAAATTCATTTTATATTGAATATTAATTAAATAAATATAAAAAATGACTTGTAATAATTGAATAAAAAAAAATACTTGTTCTATTTTAAATTTAAATGCATCATTATGTAAATGATGTTGGAAAGTGGTTTAAATGAAATATAATATTCTAAAAATTATTGGAATTGATGATTCAAGTGTACACCGCTTTGAAGATGATCTTTCACAATGAAATTTAATCAAAGAGGAGTCATGATCCCAAAATTCATGTCATTATCTAAATAAAAAGAAATTTGATTAGATAATTAGAGCGTATTAATAAAATATAAAATTTCACCATATTAGTTAAATTGTTAATTAAACATATCAATTATTTTTAAATGATTACCTGAATATTATTATATACAGACAATTATTTATAATGTACGTGTCATATGATCGTTTAAATGAGAAAAAAAAAATACAACAGCACGTGTAAAGAATTCATGGTAGTCAGCTAAAAAATTTCCGATACATTGTCATAATTTTTTTATGCAACAAGAATGTGTATATGTATTATAAGATATGTATATAAATATACACGTGGATAATAAGTGTATTCAAACTTTGAACTAACGTCACAAGTTTACTTTGATAAGATTACAGCTGTATTATAATTCAATTCTTCAATAAGTACAATGCCTGCTAAAGACATAATATATTCATATATCACTTTAATTATATAGACTAAATAATTGTAATCATTAGTTAAAATTCATTTTAATTGTTTTAATGAACATTAAACCTGTATCATAACCATCAAGTGCAATATAACCTCTCTTTAGTGAAAACATTCTTATGGCAAGGAAATTAACCTCTCTATTGTTGTAAGCATGGTGATCATGTAGGGATAAAAATGGTGGAGTAAACATTGGAATACAGATGTTTTTTGCCTGACAAGAATTACTGGAGGGGAACTATTATGCTGTATAGATATGTGTGTGTGGTAGTATCAGAATAGTTGGTGATGAATAACGAAAAAATTTCAAGAATGATGCAATACAAGTCGTGTCGTAGTAATGTACTCATGATAAATTAAATATGGTTTATTACTTGTGATAAAACGAAGGCTCGCTTTCATCATCTACCTCGCTATTGGCTGTTGTAAGAACAAGCCTTGTCGAGCCTCTTTTTACTTCTTTCTCTTTTCATTATCAGTTAATGACGTTAAATAAACCTATTATTTACATCAGAAATTTTCCTCAATCATCAAAATATGAATATTATAATTATTTTACTATTATTACTTGCTAATTGTTGTTAATGACTGTCGTTAAAAGCTTTTAATATAATGATAAGAAGAAAAAAATTTAAAATTTAAACAAATTTTCATATTTTTCTTTCAATATGAAGGAACTTTAAACTGCTAATTACTTCTTAATGGTTTTCAATCTTCAAAAGTATGAATAAACATTTTGATAATGAATTTACTTTTATCACTAATTAAATAATGAGCAATATGAATTCAAGATTTTAAGAGCATACATATTTTTTCATTTACTTGGAGATGATTAATGATATTTTGCATACATAGTTACTTTAATTATAATGTAAATAATTTGTTTAACAAACTTCAATACACTGCAGGTAATGTTATTTATTTTTCACTCTATATTCTTTATTCAATTTTCCTATCTTCAAATTTCCAATATAATTTTTCTCTTGTTTGTTTCAGTATCCTCATCCAGGCACTAGGATAATTCAATCAATAATATCGATTTTTTATTTATTTCACTGACAATCAATTATTTTTACAACAAGTAAACTGGTAGCAGTGATTTTATGCAATATTGTGGTAATACATGATAATAAACAAACCTGAATTGTCTGGAACATATTAAAAATTCTGAAGAATAATGATTTATCACATACACTAAATGATGATTGATTTGAAAAATCTACTTTGAAAAAAAAAAAAAAAACGTGTAACCAGTTATTAAAACTACAGTTACTAAGTCTTACTGAGACTTACTACTGTTGAAATTAGCTGTTTCTTGTTGGCAATATAGTGGGATTTCTCATACATGCACAAATGTAAACCACATGGAAAAATGACTCAATTGGTGAGCGTTGCCATTGGTGAGGAAGGTGTGCCGATCATATGAGCTTCTCATTGGTAGAAGCTAAGTCGAGCCTTCTGACAATACACGTGTATGTGCTTCTAACAATAGAAATACTACGCTTTTTTTTAATTTTTTTCTTTTAATCTGATAGCTGTTTATATCAAATATCTTTCTATTAAATTTGATTAATTACTATTATTAAATTTACCAGTGATATATACTTTGCTAATTTAATGGAATGATTGAATATAAGGTTGTAGAATCATCACTCTCGACATATCGGATTGAATAAAATACTCAAGTTAATTTTATTTTATCTTTTATATTCACTTCAGACTATGTAGTTTTTTCTTTTCAACAATATGACCTTCGTATCATGTTTCCAACCTGATCATGTTGGTTCCAGAATAAGAGCAATACAAGTAACATTAAAATAAAAAATGTCTATGGAATAATATTTAGATAACTTGACAATTTATTTTTAAATAAACGCAATAAATTTTTTTACGAGTTCAGAAAACCTTTAGTAGATAGAAAAAATTATAAATGGTATTGGCAAGGTGACTCAATAATGTAAAAATAAAAAGAATATTTAAATTTAAAAATCAAGTTTAAATATTTCAACTAATGACTTTCAAGAAGTACTCTTCTAAAGATTGTTTAGACCAGAATATATTGTGAAATTGTGATTGATATTATCAGTTAATTGTGCAAAATAATTAATATTCTAGACAGTCGATTCATTTTTATCTTAAAAATCATTTTTTTTTATCAAAACAATTTGTATTATCGTTTTGTTTGAAACCAATTAAGTGAAGAATGGATTATAATCGAATAAAATAGATGGACTGATTGTTAAATGATTAAATGAATACAATTATTCTTGAAGAAAATATCATAAAGAATAACTATTTGATAAAATATTTGGTTAATGTTGATTATTTTTCTTTGTGGAATTTTAGAAATTTGAGATGAAAAATGGAAATACCTTACATTATTATCTGAGTTTTAAAAAATTTAGAAGAATTTAATCTCTAACAGCTCATACGATCTTGATCTAGATCTAGATTTCAAAAAGAATGTTTCATACCTGATTAGGTAGATTGGAATTTTTAAAAGGGACAGAAAGAATAAAACTAAATATCAATCCACCAACAAAAATATGGAAATGAATCAGATAATTAAAATTCAAGCCATTTTTAGGGACTGCATCAAGCTTTCTACTTTCAAAGTTTAATTTAATGCTTATTGAATTATTTTTTTTCTTAATTTTATGATAGATTTATTCAGTGGCCTAATTATATTTACTTGGTATTATTTTTAGTATGGTAAGATAAGCTAGAAAGTAGTCGAAACCGGTTCGATAACCACATAAATACATTTGGCTAAAATTTGTATTGTATTTTAGTGCAATCAGATATTGTGAAATTTTTCATTCACTTTTTAAAAAGAAAACAGTGAAAGTTATTTTTCACTTTTTTTTATTTGAAGAAAAAAATTTATTTAACATAAAAAATTAAATAAATAATGTCAATAAATTTCATTTGAACAACATAAACATTTTATCTATTGATAGTGAAAAATTATATTCGATGCAGTTTAATATGTAAAAATTTGTAATAAGATATGAAGTATTGTAAATTTTCTAGAGCTTATTGTTATATTAAAGAAATTAATACGCCTACCATTGTGATTATCTAAAGTCCACGAAGATAAATCTGAATAATAATTTGACCTATACTTGAATAAGTATGAATAAATTGTATTTAACTTTAAAATAAATTATATCTCTTCAACAAATGTAATTAATATGCTACAATAACCTGTCAAATTATTTTTATTAACAAATTATTTTTATAACTTTACTAATATTTCTAAATAATCACTAAAATTTGACTTTACTCATCAATATTTAATCAAATAAATTTAAATAAACAATGAAAAAAAATAGTAATTAATAAATAAAATAGAAGGCACTATAAATTGATAGAACCCAAAATAATTTAACAGAATAAGTCAAAACTAATTAAAAAAAAAAGAGTTTAAAAATCTACATCACCTTTATTGATGACATTTTTTCCTGCACTGAAAAACAGCCCATTTTGAAAAACAATTTAATCACTGAGACTATTTAAATAAAAAAAATTGACTTAAATAATGTATTAAAAATAGAAGAAATATTTTTAAAAATCAGCAAAATGAGATAATATTTTGGTCTGATGTACTCTGGATGATTGTCTCACACGAACTGCGTATCCGCAACATGCGAACGACGTTTATTAGTTGAAAGTCTGCTATACAGAGCAGACTACAGGTTTTGAGTGTACACACAATATTCGTGAACCCACAGCGGGAACCACCGTGAGATGGAATATTAAATGACTGAATGAATAAGTAAGATAGAAAACATTCCCTCACTCCAGCCCTTCTGTTCCCTCTCCGATCATTATTTTTATCTCACTCTTCCGTTCACATCAACTTGACAACTTTACAAATGTCCTCTATATACTCCCCTTTACTATATAATAATGACAGTTGGCTGTTACAACTTGACAATTCTGCAATTCAGTATATTGAACCTTGTATAGGTACTAGACAATCCAAGTGATCTATTCAAGTCACACTTTACCAATGAATAATAAAAAAGAAACTGTACATTCAGACAATGTGACTAACATAATAATTCAATTTTACATTTTTTTTTTTTTTTTTGTTATTTGATTAAATTAAATATTTCATTATCTTCATTATTTATTTATTTATTATTATCTGAAATTTTTTGTTAAGCTAATAGAAAGATGTGAGATGTACAAAGTAATTAACGGTTTAATGAGAAACAACAAAACGAATAGACAGGACATTTGTATACAGGTGTCTATACCAATTAGACTCAATTATCAGTTATAAATACATTGGTTAACATTCATATAAAAGTGACAAGATAATTTTGACTATTTACTTTAATTTGCTATTTAAAATATCACTCATTTCCGTATCTATTTATATCATACACTTTCCAAATAATTATTTCACTTTAATTATTACTATGATAAGAAATTCTTTTGAAAATATTCAAGAATATTTCAAAATACCACAAGGTAAGAAAAATTGACACTTTAAGTATGTTGTCGTATTTTGGACAATGAAACTATTGATAAGATGGAATAAACAATAAATAAACCTTCACGATTGTTGTAAAAATTAATATCTACTTGAACATAAAACATAATAGAATTGTTTCTTCCTAAGCAAATTATAGTAATTAAAGAGGAATTTTTTTTTTTAGTAATTTAAAATGATAAATTAATTTATATAATATGAAATGAAATTGATTAATGTAGAAACAGCTGAGGTGATGTTCATTTAATTTGGATGGTTTTGAAAATTTTCTGGCCTTCTTAATTTTATTTATCAAAAAATAATAAACTTGAATTTATAATTATGATAGTCTTTGATTTAATAATCAGTTTAAAGTTCAAGAATAATATTATATTATCTTAATTAAACTTTGACTGAAATAAATTCTACAAATGTGGTAATCAATTATCAAACCATTTGAGATTTTAATCGATATATATATATCAGTAAAAGATATAAAAGGTGTTGTCAGTGATTGATAAAAATTTATCGCATAGGTATATATGCGTCTAATAATACAAAGATAAATGCTGCTTTCCAGAAAGTTGATCAAAAATAGCCTACCAGTATATAAAAAAGAAAACATCAAACATGATTGATTTGAAATTTCATTTATCATTATGTGAAGATTTTTTTATAAATCAATGTAAATATACATTCTCTAATCTTTGTAATTGCTGGGAATAAGAAAAAGCAAGGAGCTTTATCACATCAATTATATGAGCAAACAACGCACCGTTTACATACATCAGATTGGCAATCTTATATCGAGAAGAGGAAAAAATACTTTCAATTATATCAGTTCAACTTTTTGATTATTTTCAAAATGTATGATAAAATTATATTACTGTTTAAAATAAGATATAAATATTTGAATGAAAAATTTAGCCAAGTTGATGCATTATTTAAGTCATAGTTATTTTTATCATTAAAGTATCTTTAATGTTGATCTATGTGATCTCTATATGAAGGAACATTCAGAGAAAATTTTACCATGATTTTAAATAATCAAGAAACAGACAGATACAAAGTATAGCAAAATTTATATCAGAACTTTTTCTATGCAATAAATGTTTTGATTTAGAATATAAATTTCTTCTTTGATTAGATTAGATTTTTTACGTAGCCATAAATCTGATCCTCTTTCTATTTATATTCATTTTGTTCCATTGCAATATTTCAGTGTATTTTTTACCATTTTTATGAACAGCTATTATTTTTATTTGATTATTTTGTATTCGAATAATAAATAATAACTAAAGATCTGAAATTTATTTTTAAAAAAAGTTATTAATTACAAAAATAACTGAACAATAAGGATGAATAGTTATTGATACATTGAAGCAAATATAAATTAAATAGAAATTTAATTCGATCTGTAGCTATATGAGAAATCTAATCTATTTACTATGTTTCAAATGATATTTATTTCAATACCTAATAAATATCACAATATGATGTTTTTTTAAATGAAAAAATACAACATAAAGTTCTAAATTATACAAAATGTCGTGATTCAACAGCATAGTAAGGTGAAAAGTTCAAAGTAAAATTTTCTCTGAATGTTGATCTAGGTACATGTCTGAATAAATTTTACTTACAGCTTCTTCCTTGCTTGTGGTTGCCTGATTGTAACAAATATTTTTAGTTATTAACAATGAATGATTAATACTAAAGGTTAGAAGTAAATTATAAAACACAATATCATACCTTAGATGTTGGAGCTAAAGCTGTAGGAGTACTAGGTTGTTCTTGAATATCCTCTTTAGACTAGATGTAAAAAAAAAATGTTAGATGATTGTTAGTAAATGAAACATGTTATTATTAATTTTTATAAAGTTAAAAACACTAATTTTAATGAATCAAAACTGATTTAAAAATCGATTGGATTTATTTAATTAATATGAAATTAATATTAAATAAAAATTACCTTGCCAACCTCCATGATTTGTGTGCTGCATAACACAGAAGTACGACTTAGTTTTTGGTATAAACTAAGAAATTACATCAAATTTATTTTATAATTCTTCATGCATTTTTAATTAAATAATACTAAAGCATATAAATAATCGATAATTATTGTTATGTTATTAAAAATGTATTAAAATGAATTTTTATAAAAGAATGAGTGATATTTATTTGATACACTTGAGTGTCTTAACTTCAATATTTACAATTTCTTTGTGAAAAAAGTAAAATTCATGAAATAAAATGACTTTGATACCATTGTCATTATCACAACTTAGGTCAAGTATATAAATGCAATTCAATGACTATACAAATTAAAATACTTTTTTTCATACTTAACTTTTAAATGGTCTAACTTGTAT